TAATAATAAAAATAAAATAAAAATAATAATTAATAATAAATTAAAATTAACTTTAAATATAATAAAGTAAACCTTTTAAGTAGTTTAATAGATATTATTAAAGAGAAAGTAGAGTATAGGTATAGGGTGTGGAGGAAGTAGTGGTGGTGTAGGGTAGTTAGTAGGAGTGTGGTGTACTCGCTGGGGTGGGTATCGTCATGGTGGTTGTGCGGTATTTCTAGGTTGACTGGCGCCTATGAGATGTCTATGGGATGTCTGTCTATATGGGATGGGGAATAAAGATGTAATACTAAGGATGGTGGAGCGGGGTGCCACGGGTGCCAAGCCGGCAGGCCGCTAGACGGGAGATGTTTAAGCTTGGGGCCAGGGAGCAGCGGTACTCAGCCTGTAGTAAGCAGGATGGCCAGGCGGGATCAGCCGTGGAAACAGGAGACGGAGGAGCGGCATCAGACCACAGTGCTGGCCGGGTCGACGTGTCGGGGCCCGAGGCCCCAACGGGGGCACCGCCGATGAGATGTGACAGCTGTGAGGCCTGGCAGGACGGGCAGGACGGGGCAGGTTGTGATTGATTATAAGAACGAGAGCAAGCACAGCGACGACTGCAGCCCGGCGGCGTCTCGTACCCGCCCCCGCCTGCATGAGTCCTCCGAGCCCCGTCCCGTGTGTGTGTCGGCTGGGACGGTTCTGACCTGGGAAGGACGGGCAGGCGGCTCGCGGCTCGTCACTCGAGAATGGGCTGATTCTGCCGGGCTGGGGATGCCACGGTACATACTAAGTCTACCCACAGGCGCTACCCGCCCTTATTATTAGGCACCTGGGTACTTAAGTAGGTACCCGGGTACCTCGGAGACAGCGGGTGGGTGAGAAAGAACACCCCCTCTGTTCCCTGAGGCCCCCGTCTCAAACAACGTGGCGGCCGACCAATCATGGCGGGGTAGTGCCATGCCACTGGTGTGTCACAGGCAGGCGGTGGATCCGGAGTCTGCCAGAAATCAGACCACCGTTCTCAACATCGTGCCATTTCGAGCGACTTTCGACTCAAAGGTCTTGTAGAGTCAGGCCAACAGGGACAGACAGGGCCAGACAGGGCCAGACAGGAACAGGGCACCTGCAGTCAACGGAGATGTGTGCTCTTTGCCTCTGCCCCCTCTGATGCGCTCGTCCGCCCGCTGGTGACCTCTACTACTAATCATGCCGCCTTGTCTGCCGTCATCTTCGCGAGGCTGCACCTGTTTTGAGTGTCAGAAGAGTGTCAACCTCCTCCACCCATCTGTCTGTCAACACGCCCGCAGCTAATCCTGCCCAGCCCAGTCCCAGTCCCAGATCCAGTCCAATCCAATCCAATCCAATCCAGTTCTCCAATCCAATCCAACCCAACCCGATCCAATCCAATCCAATCCAACCCGGTCCAGTCCAGTCCAGTCTGATCCAATCCAATCCACCATCCATCCAGTCCAGTCCAGTCCAGTCCAGTACATCATACCATCACCTCCTCCTCCTCCTCCTCCTCCTCCTCCTCCTCCTCCTCCTACACACCCTCGCCTACACCATCCGGCTTCCTCGGCACCAGTACAACCACCCCGTCTCTCAACCTCTCCTGCCGCGTCCCTCGCACCCCAGGGCCCGGTATACCTCCTCCACCCACCCTCCTAACTGTCCATCCACGCCATCATCGTCCCTGCATTCCAGAGGCTGAGGGGTCCTGTCGACCATCCTGGTACACATACTTTACTGCCGACCTTTATATCCTCCCTGTCGTCTTTCTGTCCCGTGATCCTGGGCCGCCTCCTGTGAACCGATCTGCCGCCCCTCCACCCGATCCTGAGCCTGTCGCCCACAGCCGGACTCGTGCCCAGGTGGCCGCGCTGTTCTGAGCATTCTGGCTTGGACTTCCACCCTGCCGCGGTATCGGCCCAAGTTCTGCCTGGTTTGGGCTCAAGTCCAGACACTAACCCAGGGCTTGAGCAATCACTGGGAGAAGCATAATCTGGACATCTCAGGCTATCTTGCTAGTGGGGCGCGCCCAACACCGTGATACCTTCCTTCGCGCCTCTGTCAGGTCCTCCCGCATCCCACAGGCCTCGAGCACGTCCTGCGAACATGGCACCCGGCATCCTCGAGACGAGCTCGGAAAACACACGGAGCCATGATGGCAATGTCGAGACTACCGAGGGCGTGATCGGCGCAAACTGCGTCGACCGCATAACCCTCCTCAAGAGCATGCCCGAGGTTCCGTCGCAAACCCAGGTTTGCATCGTGGGCGCCGGTCCGGCCGGGCTGATGCTGGGCGCAAATCTGTCGAGATTTGGCATCAAGGCCCAGGTCATAGACGACCGTGCCGATCCCACACCTGTAGGAAGGTATATACTGTCCCTCGGGCGCCTATTATCGTATCAGGCGGGCCTTGCCCTGAGCTGACCGGCTTGCACAGGGCTGATGGCTTGCAACCCAAAACCATCGAGACTTTCCGGCAGATGCGCCTTGTTGACCCCTTGCTGCAGAGGGGTGTGCGCGTCTATGACATCTCCTTTTGGCGCTCAACGGCTGACGAGCCCCTCCGCCGCCTTGGCCGCGAAGTCCACTACCCGCCCGTCATCGATGTGTTGGACCCCTACATTCTGCTCGTTCACCAGGGAATGGTAGAGAGCTTGTTCATCGAGGACATGAAGAAGCGCGGGGTCGAGGTCAAGAGAAACTGCGCGTTTGAGTCGTATAGCGCGTGTGATGCCCTGATGTTCAAAAAGGTCGGCGCAGCGCTTCAGATAAACACAAGAGTGAATGTGACCCAGGACAAGAGGACAATATTGGCACAATACCTGGTTGGATGTGAGTCTGGCCCCTGCAAGACAGGCCTGCCGTAGGACGCGGACCCCGAGCTGACCCTGCCTAGGCGACGGCGCGCACTCCAAGGTACGGAAGAGCATCCCCGAGGCGCGACCGGTGGGCATGTCGCAGCCCGTCGTCTGGGGTGTGCTGGATGGAGAACTCGACACCGACTTCCCGGACATCTGGTCAAAGACACTAGTCTTCTCTCAGGAATTTGGCTCCATCCTCATCATCCCCCGGGAACGCAACATGACCAGATTCTACATCGAGTTAAAGAGTGGCATGAAGGAGGACAAGAAGATACTGGGCCAGGAATTCATCATGGCTCGCGCAAAACAGATAATGGCACCGTTCAGGGTGAACTGGAAGTACATCGAGTGGTTTGGGCGCTATCAGATCGGCCAGAGGGTTGCCAGTCGGTTCTGTGACTCTCACCACCGGGCGTTCCTGGCAGGTGACGCCAGCCACACCCACTCACCCAAGGCGGCGCAGGGCATGAACACGTCAATGCATGACTCCTGGAACCTGGCGTGGAAGCTTAACCTCTCTGTCCGGGGGCTGGCAAAACCCACGCTTCTGGAAAGCTACGAGGAAGAGAGGAGGAAGATCGCGTTGGACCTCGTCAATTTCGACTACGAGCATGCTAACCAGATCGCTGCCGGTGACGCCGTGACCTTGGCCGAGAATTTCAAGACCAACGTCCGATTCATCTCCGGCATTGGTGCCGAGTATGGGGAGAACTCCATCAACATGTTGGAGAGCCAGACGTGGCTGCTGGGGGAGGCCAAACCGGGATGCCTGCTGCCTCCGGCCAAAGTAACACGGTACCTGGATTCTAACCCAGTGGATATCCAACTCGACATCCCCATGCTCGGGCAGTTCAGGATATACCTCCTCATGTGGGACGTGCACCAGGCAAAGATGTTCCTAGATAATTTCTGCGACGCTCTGGCGGCAGACCACTCCCTCATTCGCCAGTTGTCAGTAGCAGCCAGCCTGTCCTACGCAGCACAGCCAAGAATGCCCGCCCCTGAGGACATATATGTGCGGCCGGAGAGGTACACGGCTGTCAGCCACCTGTTCACCTTTGGCCTGATCAGTAAGCCACCGCCCCCCCCCCCTTTAAAGAAGAAGAAGAAGAAGAAAATAAGAAAAACAAAAAAGAAACCACTGAACCGCGGCAGGTCGTGGTCCGCCACGCCGGGATGAATGCTAACCCGAGACAAAATAGCAACCATGCCCAAATCTGACATCGAGATCTCCGACCTGCCGCCGCTCTTGCAGGACAGCCGCTGGACATTCTACCTGGACGACATTCCAGAGCAAGACACCCGCGGCTCTTTGTGCACGAACAAGTGGCTGGGCAGCTTGGGGCCCGGGGAGGTCGCCATTGTCACTGTACGCCCCGACGGCTACGTCGGAAGCCTAGGCAGGTGGGACACGAGCGTCGACGACGCTGGTGAGGAGGCCGCCAAGTGGCTCGACACGTACTTCGACAGATTCCTGCAGATTCCTGAGGTGCTCAGGAGCCCTTCCCCAAACGCCTCTGTGTCTGCCACCAGCACCTTCAACAGTGCGAAGCGAGTGAAGGTAGAGGAGATGGAGGGCGTGAACGAAGCGACCTGAGCTGTCCGCCTAGCGACTAAGTAGAGCCGGGGAGGAGGGTAATGATACGATGGTTTGACATTGGAGGGCCTGGGGCGTGAGGTGCTGCTGGGTTTGGTAAAGCAAGCCATCACCCCCCCCCCGGGGAACCCCGGGGTCTCGCAACCCTCGCCTTACGAGATTGAAATCATGCGTTTGACGGGCAAAGGGGGGGGGGGCCTGCTCGCGGCTTGTATTGGATTTGGCCTCGTTCTTGGGCCCCGGGCTTGTAAGGGGCAAAGCGTAGTAAAACATCGCATCGCATCTGGGCGAAATCAATGACCTTGGGCATAGACATCACATTCTGCGACACATTGTACGCAGTCATGGGTCGTAGAAGGGGGAGAGCTGGGAACTGTACAGGGGCGTGTCAGGCTCTGCCCATAAGCGGGAATCTTCAAAACGGGGGCATCGTCATGACCGTAGCGTCTGTGTTGGAACCGGCGACCGAGGCCGTGGTTATAATAAAATACCAGAGTACTGGCTCTGCCGCCACATTCCCAAAATGATTACTGGATATGCCCACGTGCCTACAGCTCGTCCCGAACCCGCGCGGCAGCTTCCTGGGCAAAAACCGCGTCCCCACCAGCGGCCGGCTCGAGGCCCTCAGCCTCGTTGCCTACCCCAGCCGCCGGTTGCTGGCCAAGTCGGTCCATCTGGGCGACCTGCTCCTCGATCCTGTCAACGATCCTGCCGACCTTGGCGGCCATGGTGTCGGGATCTGCGTCCTCGCTATCAGGGGCACGCTCGCCTGTCTGGCCAACCTGTGCAGTAGGTACAGCACCCTGCTCCCCGACGCCGATGACCTTGATGCTCTGCGCGGCGCCGGCCCCGGCGACACCGACCTCCATGGTTGCGTCAGGCTTCCCGCCGACCAGGCCCACGGCGGCGGAGCCGGAGCGAAACACAAGGCGCACGGGGAGCCAGACGAGCCACCACAGGGGGCCGTACATGAAGCGGCGGAACACCAGCCACGACAGGGTGGCGAGTAGCATGTAGAAGGTGGTCTGCAGGTACCAGGTGTCGGTCTTGGTGCTCTTGAGCAGCACGCCGACCAGGTCACGGCTTGACCGCAACATGTCGTCCATGCGCGAGTAGTTGGACCCCAGGGCCTTCATCTTGAGGGTTGACTCGTGCAGGGCCTCGTGCACCGCGATGCTGCGCGACAGCTCGTCCGTGACGGCCTGGTGCGCCCGCCGCAGCGACACGGTCAGGTCCGACGACGCGGCCACCAGCGGGTCGCCGTAGCCCGGCGTGGTCTTGTGCGTCTGGCGTCGCCGCGGGGCGGGGATTGCCGGCGGCGCTGGCGAGTTGGCGCCTGACCGGGTGGGCGTCGAGGCCGCCCGTGTGTAGGACCGTAACAACAGCTCGCGCTCGAGGCGCCGCGCCGCCTCGAGGGAGCGCCTCGCCGTGAGCTGCGCCCTGTGGAATGAGGCGCGGCAGCTGGGACGGGGCCGGGGCTGAGCATCAGCGACGGGAGCCGTGGGACGTGGGGGCGAGCATCAAAGTCACTCACCGCTTGACCTCCCCTTCCAGCCTGGCCACGCCCTCCCGCAGCCTCTCCTTCTGCCGTGCGGCGTCGCTGCCGCCGCTGCCGCCGCGCAGGTCTGTGATCTCCTCGGCCAGGAGCTCCAGGTCCTCGTCCTCGTCGCGCAGCATGTTCCCGATCTCGCCGCTCAGTTCCGCCGCAACACCGTCGTCGTCCTCGCCAGGGCCTTCCCCGGCGGTGAGCGGCACGGAGCCAGGTTGGAACTTTAGGCTGGCCAGTCGGTCGATAAGCTCCCTCGCCTGCGCCGTCGTCTCCTGCAGCGCCGTCAGGCGTTCCTGCAGCGAGTCGAAGGAGGACATGTCCGGGAATATGCGTGCTTTTCTCTTCGCCTCCCTCTTCTTTATGCGCCCCGGGGTGGTGGTAGAGGCTCAATGAAAAGTGTCTCGTGACGAGCGGGTTGGATTTGTGGTTATTCGGTCGGCCTGACCGTGTCGGCGTGTCGGGCCGGGGGAGGGAGTAGTACAGGACAGCTTCGTCGATTCGCCTGCACCTGAGCCGCACGTCATTTTAGTAGTCGAGCCTGTAGAGGTCGCCAACGGCCCGAGCGCTGGGGGCCGGCCAGCAGCAAGCAAGGGTAACAAGGGTCAGCCCGGGGTCAGGCGATCGATCGCCTTACCCTCCGTGCCCGCCGCGAATTTTCCTGCGGCAGGTAAGCTGGAGAGAGCTCCCGACGGGGCCTCCCCGCGCCAAACGTCGCTCGCCGCCACCACGGCAAATTGACAGACACCATAGCCCACGCCAGCCCGCTCGCTCACAGCCTTCACAGCCTCGACTGACTTCCAAAAGCCCCAGAAGCCTGAGCCCCGTCGCCAGCACAAAGTCTCGATCCCGCGAGCCGCCAGCACACGCCGCCGCCTGCGAACATGATTACCCGATTCATCACCGAGGTGAACACCAAATTCAACCCTTTCTCTGCGAGGTCAAGGTCCGCCCGCTTGTTCCTCTCGTTCCTCCCGCCGACGGCGCGCAGCCAGGGCATGGCCATCCAGACGAAGCTGCTGCCGCGGGCCTCGACCGATAAGGCTGCCCTGCAGGTCAAATTCAGTACGTTGTGCCCATCCTATTTCTCCCCATGTACGCACATGGCTGTGCACGCACCTGCCTACAGGCGTCCTTCGTCTTGTACTGCTTACGGATCCTGACGACTGCTCCTTGGACACAGAGGACGGAAAGCTCCTGGACCTCGACTGCGAGAACCTCGGTATCAAGAGTCTTGTCGAGGAGTGCGACAGACACTCACGGGCATTGCAGAAGCAGGCCGACCTGGCGGATGCGTAGTGGATCCGTCCGGGCCATCTGCCTAGGGGAAGCGGCGGTCCGTTGTACATCAGGGCAGCCGTGGGGAGAATACATGATCATGTGCATGGCGCCTGCGGCGTTCGCAAGGAAAAGCCTGGCGTTCTTTGGGTCAACTATCCAACCTGTATATCCGAGCATATTCGGCCATGGCCACCAACACCAGGCATAAATAGACACAGCGGGACGGGCAGGTCACTCGAATAAGGTCCCAAGATGCTCAAACAGCTTGTATTTCTCTCGGGGATTTTCTTTTTATCTACTTTTCAAGCTGATGTGCGATTGCGAACTGGCGGAAACCCGGGAGGTCCAGCTGCCTCGGCCCCTTGGGGGCTCCTCGGCCCCACATGCGGTCTTCTTGGGCCATGTATTTACGCCGAGGCCCCGCTGATGAAGAACCACTTGTCTATCGAGGCGTCGATCTTCTCCGGGGGGAGCTCCTGGTTGGCAGGGATAGGGGGCAGCTGGTCGGGGGAGACACGGCTGGGCGAGTGGCTGACAGTCAGGTTGGTACTGCAAGAGGGATTGTTAGCAGGGCGCAGGGCCGTGAGGTCGTGACGAAAGCGTTGGGCCCAACACATACGTAGAGACACCGCCAGCTGGGGTCTTGCCGGTGATCAGCCTCTCCCAGGCCTCGGCACACTCGTGGACGACGTCCATGGCGTACTTCTTGTTCTTGCACTCGCCGGTAAAGGCGAACTGGTTCTCGGGCTTTCCGTCGGGGATCTTGTAGATACGGAACCACTCGTTGGTGGCACGCAGGAGGCCGGGCAGGTGACGCTCGACATCCTCGACGTCGTTGAGCTTGGAGGCCAGAGGGTCGTTGACGTCAATGACAATGACCTTCCAGTCGGTCTCCTCCTCGTCCAGGAGGGCCATGACGCCCAGGACTTTGACCTGCTTGACCTGGCCGGTGTAGCCAACGAGCTCGCCAATCTCGCAGACGTCGAGAGGGTCGTTGTCACCCTTGGCCTTGGTCTCGGGGTGGACCACGTTGGGGTCCTCCCAGGTCTGAAGGGGTTGGGGTGGTTGTCAGACAACAGCGGTATGGTTTGGCCTTTTTGTTCTTGGGTGGTGGTGGTGGTGTTGCGGGGAGGGGAGGGGGGTAGAAAGACGTTGGGAAGGGGGAGGGCGCGGTCTGTGGCTGGACTGGTGGTGGTCATGCAAGTTGTTGTAGACATACCTGAGGGAAGGCACCATAGTTCCACAGGTAGCCCTTGTGAGGGAAGCAGTTGCGGACATATCGGAGCTTGCCCTTCTTGATGTCCTGCTTGATGGGGTTGAGGAGCTCCTCCTTTGAGATCTAGGCGATTGGCAGGGCGGTGGTTAGCCAGGGAACGAGGCGGTCACGGTCGAGGGGCGGCGACACCAGGAAAAAAAGGGGGGGGGAGCTCACCTCAAGCTTGGCATTGGTCCAGCGAGGGATCTCAACAATCATGTTGAGGATGGTCTTTTCCTGGTTGGCAAACAGGGGGATGTCGTGGAAGGGCGAGACGGGCACGCCATCCTTCTCGATGTACACGCGGTGCTCGAGGGTGTAGGGGGCAGCGACCTTGCGGGTGGTGTAAGAAGACATGTTGCCGTGGTGTCTTCTTGCTTCTTTTCCTGGGTTGGTGGGAGGAACAGGAGGAGAGGAGGAGGAGGAGGAGGAAGAAGAAGAAGAAGCCGAGAGGTGGCGGGCAATCTGGGCCGTGCGGAGGGACGAAATCTTGAAAGCTGGGCTGGCCCTGAAAGAGCTTCTGTGGGAGTGGGAGTGGGAGTGGGAGAGGGAGGAGGTGAGGGTGAGGGTGGGTTGCGGTGCACGAGGGAGGCCAGAAGTTGACAGCAGGTGTCGAGGGGTCGGGGGTGGAGGGGCCACGGGCGATAGCGGGGCTGCAAGATCTGGCCTGCGACCGCTGCCGCAGCAGTGCCCGCGGCGGCAGCTGCGTGACAGCAGCCCCAGCTGGCCCAGCCCCGATCGATGGCCCGCGCCCCGGACCTGGAATTGCGGCAGGGCCAGACGAAGACCTCTCTGCGGTTGCATGGCGCCGATGCAGACTCGGGATGGCTCCTGGGCACGCACTGCTGTTGGGATCTTGACAGGGCTGGACGGTAGAGGAGTCGGGAAAAGTAGGAAGCGATGTGTGTGTGCGTGCGTGCGTGCGTGCGTGCGTGCGTGCGTGACGGGCGGACAGGCAGACAGGCAGAACAGGGTCCCTCGGGCCAAAACACACACACACACACACACACACACACAACCCTCTCTCTCTCTCTCTCTCTACGCATATGCCCGCCCAAGGCCACACGCCGACAAAAACCTTCCTTCCAATCACATATGTAGTGTCAATTCAAGCCCGTACGTACCAGATATCACACACAAGCAATTGCCTCGGTCTCTCCTCGTCGGGGTATCTGCTGCTAGACTAAAAGAAAGCACTGTCCCACCAAGGCCTCGCCCTGGGCCTCCTTCTCTCATGACCCGTGCTGCCATCATCCCCCACTCGCCTCGCCATCCCCAGGCCATGGCACAGAGAGGGCACAGCGAGGGCACAAGGCTGCAAGGCTGTCATTCCCACCCTCGCGCCCCCTGCTTCGTCCCTCGGGCGCCCCCAGCCGCCCGGTTCTCCCGACCGCCCTATCGCCGGGGAAGGTTGCCGTAAGAGCCCTTGCCGGAATTATTCCCGTATGCGCCGGCGTTGAACCCCTGGGTGATGCTCTGCCGCACAATCGCCGCCGCAGCCTGGCTTGCCGCCATCCTCTCCTTCTGCCGGTGCCTCTCCCGCAGGTATCCTGCCGCTTCCGGCCGCATCCGTAGGATCCGGAGGATCATGTCGTCCGACGGGTCTGCCTGCGCCTCTTTGCGCTTCTCTTCCTTTGCCCGCTTCATCGTGCCCAGGTTGCGGCTCATCATGATAGACTTGCCACGGCGGATGGTGCCCATGCTGCCAAATGCTCCTGCCCCCGAGTTGAACGTCGGCCCAAACGTCGCCGGTGCCGACTGCCTGCTGGCCTGCTGGGATTGTTGCTGTGCGCGCTGTTGCGTCGCTGCAACCATGCGCTCCGACGTCCGGATGAGTGTTTCGGTTGGGTCAAAGTACCAAAAGTTGAGCGACGCCAGCTCGTGCCACTTGGGCGATTTCAGCACCTCTGCAGGGACCCCCAGCACCTCGCCGTCCTCGTCCTTGGCGTGGAAAAATTCAAAGAGCATGTCGAGCCACTTGTAGACCACGTCGAGCTCGACCTGCGTGAGCGGCTTCTGCGTCGACGGCTTGTCTGACAACGGGGGCACGAGAAGGCTCTCTATCGCCATGAGGACCTCCTTCCACAGGCGGGTCATGACGGCCATCATTGTCGCCTCGGTCAGCGTCTGCTTCATGATGGCGAAGTTCTCGTCAAAGTAGTTAAACAGCGTTTGGAGTGCGTTCTCAACATCAGCCTGTGTCACCGGCGGAGCAGCGGTCTTCCTAGTCTTCCACATATTCCCGATGGATGCAGCAATGCCCCGGCTGAGCAGTGTCTTCAGGGCTTCATGGGAGAGTGAGGCGTTGATGACAGTCGTGAGCTGTGAGCATGTTAATCGCCGCTGCTGCTACACCAGGACAAGAGCCATGTTTTTGTGTTTTCTCTTCCTTGTCCCCTGGAAGGGTGAGGTCGGGGGAGGGGAGGGGGGAAGGGGCGTGCTTGGGTTGGGTTGGGTTGGGGGCCACATGCGGACAGTCCCCTGGCGTACCTTGTCTGTGATCTTCCGCACCATATCTCGCTCTGTCCTTTTCAGGTGTCTGAAGGCCTTGCCAAAGTGGAACTGGATGTCATCTTTCTCCCCCTCCATGCTGACTCTGATCAAGAGCCTGCCCTGCGTGTCAAGATCCAGCCAAAATTCACGAGGCAGGTAGTCGCTAAAATGGACCGGGTCGAGCTTCAGTGATGTCCGGCCCACAAAGTCATGGTCTCCAAAGGTATCGTAGTCCCACAATGTCGCGATGACATTGACTGGCCCCGTGACAGTGACGTCTACAGACTCGTCCCAGCGCGGGTTCAGGGTCCTGGAGACCACACGAGTCTTTGCAAGACGCTTCTGGTACTCGTCGACCAAGACCACATAAGGATCACTATACCCATTTGGGTCGCAAGCCTTGATATCCTCCGCCTCGACGACCTTGATAGTGAACACATACTTATCCGGCCTGCGGTACTGCTTCGGGCCTTCTTTGGTCCTCAGCACATCGGCGCACCCCTCCACGTTCATGGCTTTTTCTAACTTGTCCAGCGACTGCATTGCATACTCGATATTGTTCAGCTTGACGAAGGACTGGATTGGACTGGTCAGCGGGTGGTTTCGGCAGCCATTCCGGAGCATGTCAGGTGCTTACCTCGGGGTAGAACTGGAAAGGCTCTATACCATCCTTGGTATTCCACGCGTCCTTTGCCATTTGCATGAACCGCTCCTGCGTGGTCCTCTGAGCTGCCGCCAACTCCTGGGCCGTCTGGCGGTCCATCTCCTTGGCGAACTTACCCTCGACGATCTCGCAGTAGCGGCCAATGCCGGAAGCAAATGCCTTGGCCAGGGCGGTCATGAACTTGGCGTGGTGGACGTCATCATCCCATTCGAGCTTGAAGATCTGGTCGACCGTCTGGTTGAACAGTTGGAAAATGTCAATAATCGACACGCTGTGGCGTTCCGCGTCCGTTGGGACGTTGCCCGGATGGTTCGTCCTGACTTGGAACTGGTCCTGTTTGATGGCTTCTTCCACAAACTGTGTCATTCTTGTTTCCGCCTCGCCAATCCAGCGCCAGACGAACTCCTCCAGAACACTCTCGATGTGGAAGGCGAAGGGCAACCCGGGCAGGAATTCGAGGTGGATCTTGCGGAGCTCGACCAGCTCCTTGTACAGGTCGAACCCGTCCATTACGTTGACCTCCTCCCCTCTCTCCTTGGCCGCTATGACGATCGTCTCGACCAGGGCCTTCGCATCCTCCTCGAAGCTGGGGAACACTGTCTGGACGAGGACAGCAAATGGAGAGACGCCCATAATCTTGGGGTTCCTGGAGTACTTCTTCTTTATCCTGGTGCACAGCTTCGTGACTGCTCGGCCGAGGCTTACGACATGGGAGAAGTCCCAATCTTCTTTTGCTTGGGGAACCTCCTTTTCGAGGAAGCCGTGGTACACTTGTTCAGCCTGCTGCTTGAGGCCCTCGGTGAGCGTCTTGGCGAACTCGTCCAGCTCTTCGTCCCTCTCGGCAAACACCGGGTCCGGGTACACGTGGTTCATGAGAAGGACCATTGTCACACCTACGGAGGGTGCCTTGGGTTCATAACAGTGCATCAGCACGTCATAGACATCTCGGAGAAGGGCATCATGAAGAGCGTTGAGTATCTGCTGGTACGTGGTGAAGTCCACCAGGGTCCACTTGCTTGGGTCAATCTCGGGAAGGGTCGCCGTGAACAGCTGGATGTAAGGGAGCTTCTTGGGCTCGGGCGGCGGAGCCTTGACAAAATCAAAACAGGCATCGAGCTCGTCGCCACGAAGTTCCTGGTCCAGGAACTTGCGCACGGCGACCTCGAGGAAGGTAACGTGTCTGGTGAACTGGGGGATGCGCCAGTACGCGCACAGCTCGTTCAGCAGTTCCAGGGACTGGTGTGAGAGGGGGACGAAGTCGTCGGACTCGGTGTGCAACTGATCGAACGTCATGGCATTCTGGAGTATCATTTTATAAAAGGCCCTCGGGTCAGGGGGGATAAAGGTGTAGTTGGGTTCATCCACGCTGCGTATGCTGGAATTGTCATCAAACGAGAGGGAACTCAGACTGAAGGACGGGTCACCTCCGGGGCCGGCCGAGTCAGGACTATTGATCATCTTGGCCAGATCTGCAAAGGCCTGGTCGTCGGAGAAGATGGACGTGGGGCGGACGGGCAGGGGCTTCTCGAAGCTTGTGACAGTCTTGCTGAGGTCGGGGCGGACCTTCAACACGTCCAGCATCAGCGATGTCAGGTGCTGGCGCTCGCCCGCCTTCCACTCCTCGAAGGACTCATTGACATCGAAATCCTGCCGCTTTAGGGCGCCGTCCATGTTCGAGTCCAGGCGGTGCTGGTAGGCCTTGAGGTCTTTGAGGGCGGCCTCCTCGGTCCAGATGTTCCGGTTCACATCGACATCGGACTGCAGCTGGGAGTTGGTGCGGCCAAAGATCTTGCCCACGATCTGCACCATGTGCATGTCCTTGACCTGGTAGCTGTGCGGTATGTCGACCTCGATGGTCTTGTGCTCGCCGCCGCCCTGGCCGCCGTCGATTGACAGGTTCTCGTCGTTGCGCAGCAGCTTCTGCTCCAGGGTCTGGAGCTTGCCCATGAGCTCGGGCTTGTCCTTGTCGGTCCCGTGCTCCCTGAAGATGCTCAGGATGAGCCTCACGAAGAGGGCGAGGTGCCTGTCGACCAGGATCTTCCAGGTGTGGTCGTCGGGGGCCTTTCCCCGGCCTTGGGCCCTGGAGGCAGACGAGTAGAAGATGAGGATCAGGGGCTCGAGCTTGCGGTCCTTGTCGAGGCTCTTGCGGAAGCTTGCCTCGGTGAAGGAGGTGTAGGCCTCTGCAAAGCTCCTCTTCAGGTTTGGGTCGCTGAAGCCCTGCAGTCTCTCCGTGCCCCTGACGACATGCCCCATGCGCTTCTCCAGCCAGCCGGAGAAGCTGTGTGGCAGCTTGACCTCCTTGCCGGAGGTCGAGCCCGTGGGGATGAACTCCTTGACCAGCTCGCCGATGTTCTGGGTGTAGGTATGGACCCTCGTGGGGGCCTTGGGCACGGTGACGTACTCCTTCCTCTTCTTCTTGGGCTGCAGCAAGTAGTGCAGGAAAGCGACGCTGAGGGCGTAGTTGTAGGCATCCTCGTAGCTGACGGCCGCTTGGAAGGCCCGCGAGCCAGCCCTCGACCTCCGCGGCGAGCCGCCATCCTCGCGCTGCAAGCGGTTGATGCTCTTGTTGAGGCTCCTGCTGTTGTGCTTGTACTGGCGGTCCGAAGATGTCGACATGGTGAGAGTTGCAGTCCAGTACGGGCAGGGCAGGGCAGGGCAGGGCGGGATGCTGGCGTGGGGTGGGTGCAAGTGACGTCCGCGCCCCTTATCCTGACCACAACATAACTCTGGGAGGGAGGCGGCAGGCGGCGTAGGGGGGCTGGCTTCTTGCAACAAGAAGGACCAGGCGGAAGGCGGACTGCGAATTGCGGACGGCGGACGGCGGACGGCGGACGGCTGGATCAGTCAGGGAGTTGATGGAGCAGGAGGCTGGTGTCTGTGAAACGGGAGGACTGGCAATCAACAAGGGCACGGTTGGGAGTTGTACGTTTACGTATGCGTTGTCTGTGCAAAGAAGCAAGCTAAGTGCTTAAGTACACAGTGGTGTCTAAGCACGACGGCGCGCACTTGGCTGGACTAAAACGCCCCAGAAATGCCCCAGAAACGGGCAGCTGTAGTAGAGGGCACAGACACAAGATTTGGTTGTTAAGGAGGCCGTCGCTGCAGGGCACGGCAGGGCACGGCAAGGATGCGAGGGTGGACTAGAGGGCCCCCCACCCCCCGAAATGCAGGCCAAGGGACGTCATCACAGCGCGTTGGGCGACTTGGAAACAAGTCCATAAAGAAGCACAGCATGCTGGTCTGCCGGCGGTGAGCCCCCCGCCGTCTCGACGAGCGCGTGGCGGGCACAAGAGAGATGGACACAGGTCTGTCTGATGGAGCTTTGCGCTGTGGGTCGAGTGCTATACGAGGGACGTCCCGGGGCCTTGATTGATGACTGGTGGTCAAATGGTTGCTTGGTTCCTGGGTGCTGTGCAGGGACTGGATACGGCCTAGTCATGACCTGGAGAAATGAGGCCTTCATGCCCAGTGCGGGTGGCCTACTGGTACCACAGTACATGGCCCAGGCACCCTGGTGGCCGCGGCCTGGCGGCCTGGCGGCCTGGCTGGCAGCGCCCAAAGGATGGTGGTGGTTGGTGGTCGCAAGACTTATAAATAAAAAAACGAGTACTGCTTGCTGGTCATCAGTGAGCAGGCCACCAGCGCGGTGCGCACGACCGCCCGCAGCTGATGTGTACCTGCCTGCCAGGCAACCCATGACCTGCCAGAGACTAACAAAATCAGGTCCCAGCAGCCCGGCACATGATTCCCTTGTTCTCCCTCCGTTACCTAGCAAGCCTAGGTACGCGCGCATCGTGTTACGAACGAGTGACCCACACACCTGCCGCCTCCTGCAGCATACAAGCACCCTGCAGGCCCTGGGCGCAACCCCGCGACGGCTTGGGTGGCTCCAACCTCTTTAATAATATCGCAGCAGAGCACACCAGCACAAGTCAACCCGCCTCTTAGCCACGCCGTCCACACGCGAGCGCAACCGCCATCCCCCTCTTGCATGACTACCGCGCCCGCTCGCTGCCTTGCACACGGCACATAGCTCATAACCCCTTGCCCTGCCTCTCGGCTCTGGGCGCCGCCCTCGAGCCCCTGACGCCTCATCATGGGCAACATCTCGAGTAGGCCCGACGACGGCGCCGCCCTCTATCTCAGCGACCAGAATCGATGTGAGTCCTGCCCCCGAACAGCCGACCCCCTGCCCTCTCTTCTGCGCCCCGCGCTGACCCGCGCCTCCTCCCCTCCCGCAGTATCTATCGCATCGCTCGTCATAAGCAATACCCGGAAGCGCACGTCCATCACCGTCTCCCCGAATGCATTCCCCGCCACAAGAGTATCAGCATCGCGCCCTGCCGGCGATAACACCCCAGTTGAGTTTATACAGGTCCGCCCTGCCCTGCTCCCTGAACCGCCCTCCGTTGTGTGTGAGAGAGAGAGAGCAAGAGAGGGAACAAGAGAGCGAGAGAGCGAGAGAGCGAGAGCGAGAGCAAGAGACAGACAGACAGACAGACGCACAAGGAGAAGGGGGAACAAGAGCCAGGGGGAGACACCACCATCTTGCCCTCGCCCAGAGACTGACTGGCTGCCTGTGTCGCCTGCAGGATCCTGAGCTGGCGACGAACCCTGGCGCATCTGCCTTCCTGCTGAAGCTCAGCAACGATGACGAGCTCATGTTCACATTCACCTTCAACGTCCGTCAGACACCCACCACCAGCCCCGACCCGAATACCACCAATACGGTGGACACCCAGATCAATGGTCTCACATATGTTTATGCATCCACCTCGAGAGAAGTCGAGAATCTCGTCACGCGGGAATTCCACGCGGACCCAAACCTACACAAGAACTCCAACGTCGAGCTTATCGGCGACTTCACCACGGGCGGCAGCGGCTCCGTCACCTTCGATTGGGCTTGGAAGTGGAAACCGCCCAGGAACGCCGAGGATTCGGGCGGCGGGTGGAGGAATTCCTGCAGCGTGAGTTCCAAGGCCCATGCAAGAGCATCGACACCCACCTGACTGGCTCACAGTTTGTGCAATACGACTCGCGCGCCCACGAGCTGCAGACCCTCGCCAGCTTCTCATTCTGGGTCCAGAGTATGTCGCCTACCGATGCCTGCCCCTTCCGCCATGTCCTGACCGTCTACAGACACGTCGCCCTATCTCAGCCAACCTAGTTCCCCGCCGCCCTTTCTCTTGACTGTTCCGCCGAGGAGCCGCGGCGCTTCGTCTCAGTCCGTGGAGTCGAGAATAAGCACCCTTGAGATCGACGAGCCTGCTTCCCCTACCGTCGCAGCTCACGACGCTAACAGCGTAGTCTCGCCTTCTACGACCACCATCGCCGTTCCAGTCGCCACCCCCCTCCCAGAGCCCGTAAAGGTCGATGTTTCTTGCCCGAGGCCCAATGACGATGTCTCCGCGTCGGACGACGGGCCTGTCTTCCGCGCGACGATGAAAGCGCTAGAGCAAAAAACAGGGAACATGCGGACCCAGATGAAGCGCATGATCAAGAAGGCAGAAGCTGCCCACGCAGCACAGATCGAGGCAAACGATGCGCAGGTGGCCTTTGTCGAATCACTCCGGGGCGCCTCATCTACCAACGCCAACGCCGTCCAGCCGGCCATCGAGCACTACTTTGACAAGATCGCGCGGGAGATCCTCAGCTACGAGAGGCAGAACACGCTCAACCTGCAGAAGATAGTGATCGAACCGCTGAGTAAGCTGTACCAGATCGACATCAAACAAGCAGAGGCCAAGAAGCGAGATTTCGAGGAGGAAAGCAAGGACTTTTACGCCTACGTTGGTCGGTACCTCGGTCAGCGACACGATTCGGTCAAGGCCAAGCACAGTGACACCAAATACCAAACAAAGCGGCGCAATTTCGAGCTCAAGCGCTTTGATTACTCCTCGTTCATGCAGGACCTGTCAGGGGGCCGCAAGGAACAAGAAGTGTTGTCGCATCTCACTAGATATGCAGATGCCCAGGCCCGGGCTTACCTGCAAGCTTCCAAGAAGGTCGAAAGGCTGCTCCCCCAGCTGGAGGCCCTCTCGAGCGAGGTTCAGGTTGCGGACAAGGAGTACCAATACCAACGCCGAGAGCGTGAGGAGAAGCGGAGGCTCCTCGAGAAGAGCAATCTCACCTACGTGGAGCCCGACTCCATACCCTCTTCGGTCTCGGGCAACGCGGCGAACGGGAACACGTCCGACACGGAGATAAGCAGGGCGGACAGCACGGGCTCACAGCTCAAGTCCGTCGCGATCAGCAGCTCAAACACGCCAGCTCCCAGCACCGGCGACCTCTCCAGGTCCCCTGGCAGCCTGAGCCACGCCATGCTGGCCAGTCCGTCCCAGGGCTCAAAGTTCAAGGGAATTCGCGACCTTGAGGAGCGCGATACCACTCAGACCGAGACGGAATCGCAGAGAAAGGAAGGGCTCCTGTGGGCTTTGAACCGCCCCGGCGGGCATGTCGACCCTCGCAACTTGAATAAGCAGGGTTGGCACAAGTATGTCACCCCTATCACAATCGTGCCGCTTCGCTGCTAATGAGCCGCTCAGGTTCTGGATCGTCCTGGACGGGGGCAAGCTCTCAGAGTACAGCAACTGGAAGCAAAGGCTCGACCTGCACATGGACCCCATCGATCTGCGGATGGCATCCGTCAGGGAAGCAAGGAACGCCGAGCGTCGTTTCTGTTTCGAAGTAATCACCCCGCACTTCAAGCGAGTCTACCAGGCGACTTCAGAGGAGGACATGAACAGCTGGATCACAGCCATCAACAACGCGCTGCAGAGCGCTGTCGAGAGGGGCCTGAAGGACCAGCCGGCACACTCCAGCACGCCGTCCAGCGACTCCGGTTCCTTTAGGAGAGACATCGGTTCCATCCTGACAGGCAAGAGCCCGTCACTCGGGCATGCGCAAGCACATCCGCCGTCGGCAAACATGCCCGGTCGGCGGACGACCGTCGGTGCTCGGCCACAGACGGGGCGCGCACCCAGCGGCGGCGGCACCTTTGATGAAAGCCCTGACAAGCTACTCCAAATGCTCCGCGACAACGACCAAGGGAACTGTTGGTGTGCTGATTGCGGGTCCGGGTCCAAGGTTGAATGGGTGTCCATCAACCTTGCCATCATCCTCTGTATCGAGTGCAGCGGGATCCACAGGTCACTGGGGACGCACATCAGCAAGGTCCGGTCGCTGACCCTGGACATCACCTCTTTCACGCCCGACATTGTCGAGCTGCTCCTGCTCGTGGGCAACCGCGTCTCCAACATGATCTGGGAGTCGAGGTTGGAGCCGGGCATGAAGCCCTCGCCTCAGGCAACCCGCGAGCAGAGGCTGCGCTTCATCACTTCCAAGTACGTGGACAGGGCTTTCGTCGAGCCCATCTCGGCCACGCTGTCCAGGTACCCCTCCCCCGATGATACACTTCTTGCGGCCATAAAGAAGAACGAGATCCAGCAGGTCATCTATGCCCTAGCCCTCCGTGCCAACCCCAACGTGGCGGACAAGTCCCGCGGCACCCACCCCGTCTTCCTCGCACTGGCAGCTGCCGATCCCGCCTCTCCGAGCCCAGCAGTCTCGCCTCAACCACCCCCGCCGGCCGACGTGAAAACGGTCCCATTCGCCATCGCCGAGATGCTCTTACAGAATGGTGCTGAGGTCCCCACTGGGCTGCCTGCTTTCCCGCTCAGCCGCAGTGCTCTTCAGTATCTCGACAATAAGCGCGGGAAGTCGACGATGCCTGGGTCGTTCCTCACGGGCAACGTCGGTGTCGATGCCGTGGGAAGCCTTCCTGCCGGCGGCGGCAGCGGGGCGAGCCCCCTGGCGTCCAAGGACAAGGAGGGCCGGATCGCGAAGCGTGCCAGTGCGGGTGGCAGGCTAGCCAAGTCACCCATTCCTGAGAGGTAGGGCTGCTCCGTGCCGTTGACGTTCTGGCCCATCCATTTCCGCACCAGCCACAAGGACGGGGACCATGCGAGGAGGCTCTTGCAGCTGTCATCCTCGTCTTAAACACCTTGTGGCTGTCGTTTCTGTGTTTCTCTTGCCGTGCCTTCTTCCGCTGGAGGCGGTATCGAAGGTAATGCCTTCTCCCCGCCGTGATTACTGAAATTTTATCTCCCAACGGCGTCACATGTCGCCCTCTGCTCCACCGGAGCCTTTGAGCGTTGGGAATCTCGGAATCGGCGGTATTTGTATTTTGAATGCGGCGTCTTGGGGCAGAATCCAGCAAAGCATGAGAGCTATGCCTCGCCTCCCTCTTGAAGTCATGAGATTGGCTTGTCTTTTCGTGCTGCCCTCTTGGCTTGTCGAATTTAGCGCAATGACCTTGTTACGGGCGAGGGGTGCATGGAACGCAGGGGAAGCCATATATACACACAAACACACAAGCAGTCGTGCATCACAGAAGGCATCTCATGGGACACGAAGCAAGGTGGGGGGGGGGGTTCGGGAGAGGTAGGCTGCACCCACCCATTGAAAAAAGGGTGCCCCCATCATGGCGCGCATTTTGAATGGTTCTGGATGGATGATGGGTGGACTGGTGGACTGGCGCACGATGTGAACCACGACGATTCCGACGAAAGACGAAGATGATGATGACTCCTGCACAACTTTCATCGGGCTGGTATGGTCGGCCGGTCGGCTGTGAGGGAAGCTTGATTAGGGATGAAGGGTGGTGTGCCTTGTAAAGATAGGTCCATATAGGTTTAATGGTAATATGAAATGATTGATCGAAAGAGCATCAATGCCCGCCAACCCCCCAGATGGTGGCGCTAATGGTCAAGGGGCAGCACGTAGCGTGCACTCTGTGGCTCGATATCTACTTCTGTGGGCCCACGGCAATACAAACACCTTCAACAGCAAGCACATGGCCGAGACTGTCAGGTAAGCTGTGAGTGCTTACATCATTTCCCAGAGGTCCTTGGCACTAATAGACCCCACCCCACGCAATGTGACCTCGACACCGTAACGCCATAGCTTTTTCCTGGCCGGTAGTTGACCAGTGTCGCCAGCGTGGGCAAAGTGTCCACATTTGTTATGTTCTGTTGGTATCCCGCCTGGAGACCGCCCCGTTGCATATTTGAAACAATTCCAAACCGCCAACCTCTCTGAAGCAATGTTCCCATGCCCCCTCCTCTTCCCAGTATCGCCCTGGGAGCGGGATGCATCGATCGTCCTCCGACAAAGCAGCAGCAATATACATAATTTCGTCCGTGAAAGAGCAAAATGGCGGAAACATAGGCATATTATAATCAAATCGCAACCCTGAACAAAGAAGAACAAGTAATTCGAAGGCGACAAGTGGCCGGACTAAGCTTCTGTTGCTCAGTAGTCAAAGTCCATCTCGAACGAACCACCTAGCCAGTCTTGACGGAACTGTCCAGCAAGGCTTGTGAGAGAAGGCCGGGCAGGAGCTGGAGGAATCTCACGATACTATGGCTTGCTTCCCTTGGCCGCCTTTCCCTTTGTTTTCACTCCGTTGCCGTTCTCCGTTACCAGCAAAGCTGGGCCGGGCCCCTGGGGCAGGTCATCTTTGGTATAGTGGCTGGTTGCGTCATGGCCGAAGAGCGTCTCGTCGCCCTTGCCGCCCATGGCCGCGAACTCTTCCGGGTTCCTGTTCTCGAATGGTCTGGGCTCCGCAACGGCTGGCCGAGTGTTTTTCCTGTACACAGTAACAGGATCCTTCCCGTTCACGCCAGGCACCTCTTTGACTCTGACCGAGTTGATGCTGCTGAGCAAGGTGCGCTCCCGCGCGATCCCACGGCGCTGGATGTCGAGGCCGCTGACGCCGCCGACCAAGCCGTCGGTGCTGTCATTTACACCAGGGCCCTTGGCGGTCATCCACGGGTGGTCTAAGCACTGGTCCACCGTAAAGCGTCTGTCCGGATCAACCACAAGCATGGAGTCGATCAGATCAACTGCGGGAATCGGTTAGTCGACCATGAAAATAACTTGTGCAGAGACCACGGAGCCCCCCCCCCGGCTTCTTTTTTTGATATATATTAAAAAAAAAAAAAAAAAAAAAAACTCACGAGCAGGGTCGCCCACGGAGTCCCAGTACGGAGAAGGATAGTCGAACCTGCCGCTCTTGATCTGCTGCGACAGGGTGTATGGGAAGTCCTTGGAGTACAACTCATCGGAGAAGGGCGGGAACCCGCAGAGACAGATGTACATCACGACCCCAAGGGACCAAATGTCGACCGCTTTCGTGTACTTCCTGTGCCTTGTGTCGGCCAGGATTTCCGGTGCGACATAGCTTGGCGTGCCACAGAGGGTGGTGGTGAACGACTCCTCGCCAATAATCTTGGCGAGGCCAAAATCCGCAAGCTTGACGTGGAGGTCTCGGTCTACCATGAGGATATTCTCGGGTTTGATGTCCCGGTGGACGATATTTCGATCATGCTGTGGTACTGGTTAGTAAAGTGCGAGGAAAGCAAAAGCAAGAGTGCCTCACCAGGTACTTGATCCCCTGGAAAAGCTGAGTGAAGAGCTTCCGCGTCTCATCTTCGGTCAGCTTCTGCTTCATCACAATATAGTTGAAAAGCTCCCCCTCCGCTGCGAGCTCGAGCACGAGGAAGACAGCATTCTTCTCGTTGAAAGTGTCCTTCAGACAAAGCACGTTCGGATGGCTGACACCCATGAGAACGGCGATCTCCTGTTGCAGGCCGTCCGTCTTCGGCTTGTCCTCCAGCCCCGGGGTCTTGGTGAAGATCTTGACAGCATATCTCTTGCCGGTCGCTTTCTCGACACATAGGAAGACCTCTGCAAAGTGGCCCTTTCCCAGCTGCTCGAGCAAGGTGTACTGCTGGAGGAACGCGTTGCTTTGCCTAGCCCTGGGATACTTGAAGATGAAACGGGCCTTGTCCAGTACTGCTATCTCGTCGCCCTCCTTCAGCTCCCGCCGTTGGTTGCGCCCAATGATCGCCTCGTTGACGAAGGTGCCGTTGCTTGACAAGTCCTCCACAATTGCAATAGTATCATTAGTCTTGTGCTCTGTGAACAACAAGCAGTGGCGGTTTGAGACGCTGCCGTCATCCACAACGATATCTGGGCCAGATCAGTATCGACCTGTCAGAGGCGGCACTCAACAGTTGGGAGACATACCGCACTCGGGGTGACGGCCTATCAGGTAGCCACCGGATGGGGCATCGGCGATCTTTGTGTTCTCAAAGCTCTCCTCCCGCTGCTTGGGCGACTTCTTGGCGCCCTTCCTCTTCTGTGCGCCATCCTGCAACGCGTCTGACCTCGGACAAGCAGCCCTCTTCTTCATGACCAGGCACTTGCCGCCATACTTGGTGTTTAGGGGGAACAGGTAGCCCCAGACGCCTTCCTTGACCTCGTCCTTGACATCCTTGGAATAGGGCTCGTTGGGGTCGACGACCTGCTGGGAGAAGGCCTGGGTATCCTGGGGCGGAGAGGAGAAACCCTGGATCTGTGAGTAGGTCTCCTGGCTCTTGGTGAGGACCTGGCTGGAGCGGCCTTCGGGCGGGGTGGCAGTGCCTTCCTTGAAACGGGAGCTGCTCTCCTCGGGGGAGACGTGTGTCACGGGCGATGGCAACTGCTGCTTGGTGTCGACTGGTGTCTTGACCGAGAGCTGCTGCGACAGGCGCTCGGATCGGCGCGGTTTCTTGGACGAGTCAGGATCGTGGTCTGCGGGCGACCCCTGGCAAAAGGAGAGAATCAGTTATTGATGTTGGCGGGCGGCCGTGTAAGCCAGAAGTGGGACTCGGGAACCTACGGCAGCACGCTTCAATTGGCTCTGCTCGGGGCGGGGAGCCATGATTGTGGGCAAGGCAGTGGTGCGGCGGACGAGTGGAGGGGCTAGGGGGGAGCAGGCAAGAATGTTGGAATTCACGGTGAGAGGCGACGGTCGTGAGGTTCTCCTGCCTGGAGGGCGGGAGGAGGGATGTGGTCGCAGACTGGTAAGTGGGCCAAGTGCGCAGCCCGGCGATGTGGGTAGATGGGTGGGTGTCTGTGTGTCTCCGAGGCGAGCCGCGGGTTCGAGTAGTGTACAAAAAGCTTCCTAACCTTTGGGTGGGTATTTTTTTTTAGCGCGCCAGAGTCGCCGCCTGGACCTTCTTTCCCGTGTATGACTGTACGAAGGACCTAGGTAGGTAGGTACCCAGGTATGACGAGCCCCTGCCAGGAGGTGGGAGGTGGGAGGTGGGAGGTGGAAAGTGGACAGTGGAAGGTGGGAAGGTGGAAGGTGGAAGGTGCAGGTGCAGGGTGCAGGGTGCAGGGTGCAGGTGCGTAACAGGGCAGGCGACCAGGTCGTCCAAGGCAGCCCAGGTGTGTGTGTTGAGCCTCTGTGGTTTCTCAGCTGACTGACATCACCGGGCTGATGGCTGGATCCGAGCACCTGGCAGTTTGGTATGACTGCCGACCTGGGCGACCTGGCAAGACTGGGACGCGTCGCCCGTATGTACACATGCACGCCGGCTGGCTCACCAGGCAGGACTACCTGAAACATGGATACTGTGACTCGATGATGCCCGCCTCGGCCTGGGGGACGGGGACTTGGACCGGGGGCTTGGACGGGGGACACGGCTGCAGGCTCCAGCAGTGGTTTTGCTGTCAGCCATCCCATCAACCATCCAGGAACCTACATCACGCCTGGAAGGAGGGCCCGAGCGCCTTGGTAGGACCCCTCGGGCCTACAACGCTCGTCGACTCTTGGGTTGGTTGGCAGGTACTGTACTGTGCCTACACGGTAAGGCATCCCGGGTGCTCAAGTACTTTAGTACCTACCCAGGCAGATATCACATGGCCTGGCAGCCCTGGCTGCCGACCTCCCAAGGTTGGTTGAGGCGAGGTCTGCTGGCCGCATCGGTCAGGTCAGCCAACAACAATACTGTGCACGGTCACTCCTGTGCCTACTACAGTACCCACCGAGAGCAAACGGTGGTGCGCCACAGGAAGCCGTCCTGCCCCTCGCCCTGCCCCGTCTCCAGATGCCCTTCCCTGCCTTTCAGAGCCCCGCCTGCGCTCCTAACCCCTGTCTAGCGCGCTTTTCCAGCCACATGCCACAAAACGCCACAAACCGCCCTCGCTGAATTTTCTGGCAGAGTGCGGCTTGGTGTTGGCCAAAAAACCGGGGCTCGCCTGGAGGGAAGCCTGAGCTTGGGTCTGACTGTGAGCGAGCGCGCCAGTGGGGTCCGTCGGTTCGAGCGTGAAAGAAATCTCTCCGTCTGCATCAACCAGCGTCCCAAGACGTCCCCGGGTAGAAATCCCACAGTCTCCCACTCTCCCACTCTCCCAATCGTCATTCGCCGTGCCCCTCCCTTAGCCCCTCGACCCGAGACCGGGCGCCCAAGGAGAGAACAACCGGACAGGAGACCACAAGAGAGAGAGAGAGAGAGAGAGACGAGACGAGCACATAGCCAAGCAGCAGCCAAACAGCCAAACAGCAAACAGCCAAACAGCTTAGGAAGCCCGAGATCCCCCCAACATGGCGCCCCGTGGCCTGGTCTTCGTCGATGGGAGCAGCAGCGATGTCCTGCAGGAGGTCGCCGACTACATCAAGATTGGCGACGAGATCCGACCCCTGCTCGAGAAGAGCCAGACAGAGGATGCCATCACCGCCATCGTCAAGGCCTCCTCCATCCTGAACTCGGCCCCGGAGAAGGAGTTCGGCCCCGCCTACAACCTGCTCATCTACGCCGTCATCAACCACTCGAAAGAACCAAAGAAGCACCTGCCCCAGATCTGCCAGAACCTCACGAAACCAATCACCTCCTCCCCCATCAACGGCCGCGACCTCGCCCTTGGCAGCCTGTCCACCATCTTCAACCTTCTCGCCAAGGACGACCCCATACGATTCAATGTTCTGCTCCAGATCATTCGCTTTGTCAAGGCTAATAACCTCTTCGACACCATCAAGCCCGCCCTCAAGAACGTCCCCGGCTGGCTCGAGGCCTGGAACACGGACGACGAGGAGAGGCAGCGACTGTACGTCGAGATCGCCGACGCCGCAGAGGCCGCAGACGAGAACAAGATCGCCTACGAGCACCTCTTGCAGGCCCTGCAGACCTTTGACGCCGACGACAAGGACGACATCGCCTCAGGGGAGGCCCAGAAGCTCTCCCTGCGCGCCCTCAAGATGGTCCTCGTCATCGACCGGCCATGGGCCTACGACTTCCAGGGGCTTCGCGTCCTTGCGCCCGTCCAGGCCCTCGCCGACTCCCACCCTGTCTACGCACAGCTGCTCGACATCTTTGCCGAGCAGGACCTCGAGGATTTCAACGACTTTAACGACGAGCACGAGGGCTTCCTGGAGAAGGAGAGGCTGGACCACAAGACGCTGCAGACCAAGATGCGCCTCCTGACCTTTGCCAGCCTGGCGGCGTCGCAACAGGAGCGAGAGATCCCCTACGGCGTGATCGCCAAGGGCCTGCAGGTGCCGTCGGAGGAGGTGGAGCACTGGATAATCGATGTCATCCGCTCGCAGCTGGTCGAGGGCCGCATGTCGCAGAGGGAGAAGGTGTTCAAGGTGCACAAGACCATCTACCGCGTGTTCGGCGACAAGCAGTGGCGGGAATTGCAGTCGCGCATTGATGTCTGGAAGAACACCCTCAACAATGTCCACGGCGTCCTGAGGGCCCAGCAGCAGGAGGCGGAGAAGCAGAAGGAGCGGCAGCAGCAGGAGCTGGAGAAGAAGCTGGCAGGAGTTGGGTTCAGCGACGGCCCCGGTCGCGGCCGCCGACAGCAGCAGAGAACCGACAACGACGACTAGACAGCACAACCAAGTACGTCAATGGGTCCGAATGGCATCCGAAGGATGTACATCCCCTGGAGAAAATGTGTCATCTTCTCAAAAGAGATTACCACCCGGAGCGGAGGCCCACCTGGGGCCCTCCGTGTTTGCCAGGCGTTGGGAGGGCAGAGCCTAAGAGGGGGCCGGAAACATGCTCCGGAATAAAAAGAGAAGGTGCATTTTCGATCCACTTGGTCCCGTTCTGAGTGTCTGTCCCGGAGTGTAATGTTAATGTGCCGTGACCGTGACCATGACGGTCTTGTTCTATGTTTTATATCCGATATAGTTCTTCTGGGCCGTACACCTATTGTCCCCGAGACCATCATCATAAAACGCCCATTGTAATCCCGCTTGGTCCTTCTCCCCACGGCCGTCTCAAAAGTCCGCGCCCAGTCTCTCCCTGATGGCGGCCCTGGTCTGCTCGGCGACATCCTCGGGGGTGGGCGTGGCGTCGATCTTGACGACGCGGCCCTGCTTCTCATAGTACTCGACGACGGGCATGCTGGTGTCGACAAAGGTACGGAAGCGCTTGCGTATGCTCTCCTCGTTGTCATCGGCGCGGCCGCTGGTCTTGCCGCGCTCGAGCAGGCGCGACTCCATGACGGCCTCGGGACAGTCGTAGAATAGCACAAACTCGGCCGCACAAACCGACTCCTCGAACTTGAGGGCCTGGTCCAGCTTGCGCGGGAACCCGTCGATTAGGAACCGCCGCCCCTTGGCGCTTGTGGGCTGCCCCGCGATCTTGTCCTTCATCGCGTTCTCCAGCAGGGCGATTGTGACCTCCATGGGCACGATCTTGCCCTCCTTGATGTAGTCCTTGATCAGCTGCCCGTACTCGGACCCCTCCCGGTCCTGCTCCTCCCGCAGCAAATCTCCCGCCGAAAGGTGGGTGAAGTTGTACGCCGAGACCAGCTTGGAACATTGGGTGCCCTTGCCGGCGCCGGGGCCTGTGGGCAGGAGAGTACGCGTGTCAGTAATGCCGTCGGGTGCCTGGGAGCAACCGGGGCTGGGGGCCTGCCGTTTGCCATCAGTTCCTGGGCAGGACGGATTCACTGACCTCCAAGGACGAATAGTACTGTGGTGTCGGTGATGGGCATGTTGGCAGGCAGGTCTTGGGGCGAAGGGGGTTTGGGCGTGGATGTAGAGGCGCCTGGCGCAAAGTTGATTTATGTTCTTGGAGCTGGAGGTGAGAATGATGAGGTTGGAAGGGCAGGAGGGGGGTGGAGGCGCCGCGAGGTGGCAGAGGTAGGTCCCTGGATCTTGTGTGAAGCCAGCTTCCAAGGTCGGTAGTGACGTGGGGCAGCTCTCAGGGGGTCTCGGACGCCTGGACAGGCCGGACGGACTGCAGCTCGAGGTGGTCGAGAACAAAGAGCACTTTGCGTGTGGCTGGTCCGTGCCCGACGAGGACAGATGACCCTGTAATAACGAAACGTGCCACGCTGCCAACCTGTGGTCCACAATGCGTCAATGATATATGGCTGGCTTGTCTTTTTTTTGTTTTTTTGGCTTTTTTTTTTTCGGATTCTGCTTGCGTGTTGTGCCGTACGTGTGCTGGCTGAGACCGTACTGCGACAGACTGTTCGGTCACTCGCTTGCCCTCGGCTAGCTTATTCATGCCAGCAATACTGATGATGCCGAAAGGTGTTCACGGTTCACACAAGTCATCATGCCCTCCCTACCAGCTCCTCTCGCGTGTTCTTGTGCAAACGTTCAACTTCCACGTGCCTGGTGCGGACCTGCACATGTCCCATCCATGCTAATAATGAATAATGCGGCAAGAGGGCAGGGAATCTCAGGCATCGTAGCCCTGGTCCAGATACAGACTCGACTAACGGCACTGCCCCGCCCTGGCCCCTTCCCCCAACTGGTAAAGACACGGAGAACCCGGCAGCAGGATCGATCACCGTCAAGTCAATCAAGACACACGCTCATAATTCTCTGCGGACTGGATTAAGTCGGGTAATCAATCCTACTTGTACCCGAGTAGTGCTTATATCCATCACCCCACACTAATTACCAAAAGAACGGTGTGTCTGTTCTTCTCAAAAAAGATAATGGCCCAGCCTCCCAACCAACCCCAAAAAAGAAAAGAAAAGAAAACGCCAGTGGTATAAGGTCAGGCAGTCAGTTGGCCCGGCTCAGTGCGGCTGCTTTGATAAGACAAAAGAAGATCCATAACTCATATATGTGTATATATAGACAATTAAAAGCCCCGTCTCAACCGTTTTCGCCCACCGCCCCGCAGCATGCTACCTCAGGTTGAATGTGGTCTGAACGGGCGGGGGGCTCTTGACCGCCTGCCCGGCATAAGCCCCTGGAATCGGCACACTCTCGTACACTGGCTCGTCCGCCGATGAAGGCCCGTGGCCATGCTCGTTGATGGTGATTGACGGGAGGCTCGGTGGCGGCGTCGAGGAGGCTGGCCAAGACGTGGGGCTGGTGCCCTCAACCGGCGAGAAGGACTCCTTAGCACTGGTCTTGGGGGTGGCGCTGGGTGCCTTGACGGGGGGCGCCTGAAGCTTGAAGGGCTTTTCGGCCTTGGCGGCGAATGTGCTTGCGGGCTCGGGCACGTGTCGCCCGCCTGGCGTGAAGGGGTTGCCCTCCTCGATGTCGCCCAGGGAGCGGAACGCGGCCGAGGGTGGGAGGCGTGGGGACATGGTGTGCTGCGAGTACATGCCCGGCGACTTTGGGCCGTAGAAGGACGCGAAGCCGGGGGACTTTGGGCCGAAGCCCGGGGTGTTGGGGGCTGACTGGGACCGGAGCTGGGCGAGGTAGAGGTCGGAGCGAGCCTTGTCCCTCATGTCCATGGACTTCATGAGCTTCCTCTTGGTGTGGTAGCGGTAGAAGACGACCGAGTAGAGGGTGATGGAGATGACCTCGATGACGACCTCGATGATCATGCAGATCAGGGACCAGTTCTGCCCGGCTGTTAGCGGCGGAGCCCGGCGGCGGAGGAGGGGTTCCCGTCTTACCTGAAGCCTGCAAACGAGGGCGTAGTCGACCTGGCTGGAGAAGAGCTGGGACCGGGTGTTCTTGACACAAGACCAGCCCCACATGTCCTTGTTGTTGCTGTTGTTCCTCGAGTTCTGCAGGACGGCGATGGCGAGGACCCACATGACCATGCTCACGATGAACCAGCCGACGGCGAAGAGGGTGTAGTAGACGCCGACCTTCTCGGCCCTCCTGTGGCCGCCGCGGCAGTAGCCGACAAAGACAAGGATGCATATGAGCAGAGACAGGCACGAGGCGGCGAGCACGAGGCACTGTGGCCAGATGCTCGTGTTTGTTGCCCAGGCCGGGAGGTTGTTCTGGGCGGGGAGGGCCTTGGTGGCGTTGAAGATGGCGAAGGAGGTGCCGAGCATGGCCATGACAATCAGGCTGCAGCTGAAGTTGACGCTCCGCAGTGCCACCTTTGCGAGCCGCACACGAGTCTTGACTTTCTACGCGCGCGAGAGGGTTAGACGGCGGGGCCAGTGACGGACATGAGGGGAGAGGCACATACCAGGTCCTTGGCCTGCTCCTTCTCGGTCGACTCCTCGCGCTTCTCGAGCAGCTGCTCCTCGCGGAAGGTAGGGCTGAGGGGGTTGAGGGCGCGGCCGGGGGTGCCGGGGGCCCTCATGGCACTCTTGAGCGGCGACCTCGGGCTCATTGGCACGGCTGCGGACTCCCTGTTGTTGTTGCTGATGTAGCCGAAGCCGATGTCGCCGGGTTGTGACTGGGGGGGGACGGTCCTGTCGCCAAAGCCATCGCCGGTGGACTCGACGGGCGAGTGGATGCTGGTGGCCTCGGCAAAGCGCGGTGTCCTTGGTGGCTTGCCTATTGAGGATGTGGAGGAGGAGGAGGAGGAGGAGGAATCTGTGGATGATGAGCGCACGGGCTGGAGGTTGAGGGCGGCAGGCCGCCTCCTGTCGTCACTTGTGGGCATTGCGACGGGGGTGTGAAGATGCTCTGCTTGTCGACAAGAAGGGGAGAGATGGTGAGAGGAGACCAGCTGTCGAGGAGGAAGAAGGTGCGCGCTGGGCTGGGGCGAAGGGGGAGGGCAGCGGTTTTGTCAGTGTATGTCAGGTCTCACCAGCCGGTCGGGGGTGGGCGAGGCGAGGCGAGGTGAGGTGAGGTGATGGAAATAGACGCCCGGGGCAGGGTGGTGGAATGGCATCTGGCTGCCGTGTAGTGTACACAGTAGTAGATAGGTAGGTAGTACCACAGTAATGACAACCCCGTACAATCATAATCAAGGAGGGGGAGGCGGGAACTGGAAGCCGCCAGCAGCCATGTGGGATCGGGGTTGCTGAAAATATCGTCTGACCAGCCAAGCCAGCGTCAATGGTGCCTGGGTTCTGGGTGCCTCCTCGACGAGGCGACTCGAGCGACAATGAATCCGGCGCCATCGCAGTTGATTGGCCTGCAGCCCTGGTGATCAACGCTGGCTGCCCGGGCGGCTACCACAGGACGTGACGGGCGGCGGCGGCAGAGGCGCCGATGGGTATAGATGGGTATAGATGGGGTCGGTTGGAGATGTGCTACCCCGGTCTGTGTCGGCTGCCCGCTCCTGGTTGGCTGCCCGCCAGACCACCCAGCCAAGCAACCCCAAACACCCCTCCAATCAACGGCCGGCCATGTGTGATTCTGGCCCGCTGCATCTGCAGCCTGCACGCGCCATGCAGCCCTCGGCGGCAAGCCATGGTTTGGTCTTGCCCCTCACACCACCTGCCTGCCACCCTGTCTGTCTGTCATCGCAGGCCGTTGTGAAAAGACAAAGACGAGAGAAGAAGAAGAAGAAGAAGAAGAAGAAAAGAATACATACTTGGAAAAACGTACTTGGTCAGCAACACCGCAGAGACGGGCAGGCACTCATATGCTTGATATGGTATTACCAGGTATGTGTGTATGTGTATATATATAAATACAAGTCCGGCCTAGCACGGCCTGGGTGCAGTCTAGTGTCGCGCTGAGGGTGTGCAGATGCTACCTGGCCAAGAGCCTACCATCTGACTGCGTCTGCTATGTTTATGGCACGGCACACTGGCAAACTGGTTGACTGGCAGGACTGGGCACATCCGAGGGCCCTAATAATAGATTCGGCGCTGGCATTCAACCCGATCCACCAAACCTCGGCGAGTACTCGTGCCAGGGCTCGGCGGGCAGCTCGTTGCTGAAGTGGTCCAGCCCATACTCCGAGTCCAGGTCCGTGTCCGAGTCCAGGTCCAGGTCCGAGCAGCCGTCATCCCCCAGCCGGCCGTAGCCCCTTCGCCGCCGCCGGACCATCAAGACACCCATCGCCGTCAACACAGCCCCCAGCATGCTCGCCACGGCCCACGTCCCCTTGGGTATGCCTGCCCTCCTGCGCGGCTCGGGAAATGTCCAGTCGGGCTCCGTGCTGTCCGCCATCATGGTCACGTTCCCGTGGGCCAGGTCTAGAACCCGCGTCGACCGCATCACCGCCCCTTCTCTGTCCAGTGCCTCGGCCCACACCCGGTCCAGGCCCGTGCCGTTCACAACCAGCCTCGTCTCGAAGCCGGTGCGCGGGGACCTCGCCAGCTCAACGCCCGTCCCGCCGCGCACAACCCACCCGCGCACCTCGGTCGCTCCGTTCCAGCTGACGTAGACGCTGACGTTGCCGCCCCGGGCCTGCCTCACCGCGAGCGCCGGGTCCCACCACGGCAACGCCACCCAGTCCATCTTGTAGGCTCTGTAGTTGTCCAGCGCGTCCGGCGTCTCTTCCCCGTGCCACGGCGAGAACTGCACATCCATGACCGGCTCGCCAGATGCCGTGTGTTCTGTGAAGGACGGGCACCGGCCCCAGCCGATAAACACATTTCCCAACTTGCCCGCGCCCGCGCCCGCGCCCGCGCCCGCGGCTGGGAGCGGCTGGACGCTGCCCTGGCTCTGGGCCTGCAGCCGCGACGGGTGAAGGTACTCGTGCAGGAGCTGCACGGTAGGGGGCCATGACGTGGCCTCGATGGCGATGTGCAGGCCGCGCGAGCAGGCCGACCGGCACCTCCCGTGGCTGGTTGTCTTGACGTGGTTGTCGAAGAGGGTCATCTCCGTCTCGTTGCTGCCGGGGACGAAGCGGGCGTGGTGTTGCCAGCCCATGCTGAGCACCGGGCTGGGAGATCCCGTGCCACCCGCCGGGTCGAGTTCGACGAAGTCATTGCGTTTCCCGCCGAGCGTCCAGATGATATGGCCCGTCCTCCCGTCGATCAGCATGATGGAGTTTGTATGGCGGATGGAGATGAGGTAGTTGCCCGTCTGGGTCTGCGGGGTTGGAGATGGTCAGCATACGGTACCAGTACCGAGCCCTCGGGTGGATCATGTCGCGGGACAGGGCGGCCAGGGCAGTACCTTCTCGACGCTGTTGAGGTGGAAGGCGTCCCAGTCCTTGGCCACTGTCTCGAACGAGTCCATGGGACTGATGTGGTCAAGGGCCTGCCAGCTGAAGAGCACCTCGTTCGTCTCGAGGTCGATCTCCTGGAAGAGCGCGTTGAGCACGGGGAAGGCGGCGGGGCCTTGCCAGCCGTCCCAGCCGGACGTGTCGGCGAGGACCTCGTCGACGCCGGTGACTAGGGCGGTGCCATGACCGGTCAGCGCAAACTCATGCAGGTCGCTGTGCAGAGCTATGCCTTGGGCAGAGACGTTGTAGGCCAGGCGGTAGGTGTCGTCGAAGACGAGCCCGAAGCCATCCCCGAGGCCGTAGCCCTTCCTGCCCGCCCAGAAGGTGAGATAGCTCTTGCCGAGGTTCTCCTGGACGCGGGTGCCAAAGACGTTTTCGTAGTTGCGGCTCACAAAGACCGTGGTCAGGTCCTGAGCATCGAGGATCAGGGGCGACGCCAGGGGCGACGCCGGCACCCCGTCGTGTCGGAGGAAGATGTGTGACCCCTTGCCGGAGATGCCGGTCTTGTTCCAAATGTTCACTTGCAGGACAGGAGAGAACTCGTCGCTGGAGAAGAACCTTAGGCTGGGGCGGTTGCCCAGGTCTCCGCTGTTGTAAAGCTGGTAGTCTCGAGAGATGTAGTCTCCGCGGCACGTGGTGGCGAGGACGGCGAGCCACAGCCCCCAGGACAGTGTGAGCGAGGCGGCCATTGCTGCCGTGCTTCTGGACAGACACTGCCAGGGTGACAAGACATGATGGGCCAATGTGTGTATCTAAGTATGTATGTATGGAGTGAACAAGTGCATGGCCCATCCCAAGGCGTGGACGTGCGCGTCACCCGGGGCCGCCCATTCTCCAAACTCAGGGGCCACGAGGCTCATCAAGCCAGCTGCCGGCCCGCCGCCATGTTCTTGACGTCGACGAGCTCACCGTTGACAAGTGGACTCCTGACCCGCGAGTGGTCCTGATTGTTGCATCATTGATCGTCATGACGAGGGCTCCGACCCAGTGGTCTGCCGGCTTGTTTCGGGCTGGTGCTTGGCATATGGCAACCGAGATTTCATTGCAAGTTCCTACGGCCCACTGTCGTCGCCTCCTTTCCCTCAGGGCCAAGACGCTGCTGGTTGTTTGGCGGGGCCCGCGAGGGGGGGGGTAGGGAGTGTGATCTAGGGTTGGTTTGAGCACCCAACGTTGGGAACCTCGGAGCACTACAAGTGAGCGAACAACTTCACCCTGTCCTGTTGGCAACTCTCCTGTCCCTTTCTTGTTTTCCAGGGTTTTCTTTCTCCCCTGTTTGCCACAGGGGGGAAAATTAAGCAGTCCGCCATCACACCAAAAATAAAAGAAACTATCCTCGGATACGGGGAATCGAACCCCGAGCTGGTGAGTGAGAGTCACCGATGTTAACCATTACACCATATCCGACTACGGTGTGAGGAACAGCTGCGGGTTTGCACTGCAGACGCAAACTATATTGTCCTTTCATTTGGGGCTCCGAACAAGGCTTCACTGATACCTACCCCAGGTAAGCTATCTGAACCCAACCGTGGACATGTACATCCTTCAGTACCTGGATAGCAGTGCGCTCGTACAAGTCTACAATGGGATTCTTCTCAGCCAAATGCCACCCGTGATAGATGACAGCTTATGGGCCAACCTCTGGTACTGCTACTCTCCCTGGTACCTGAAATTGGCATTTGGAGCTTACGCTCTTTGCGAATTTGGTCTGGCCAGTGAAGATCATTCCTAGGCCGAGACATGTGGAATTCCACAGCATGAACCAGGGCCACCAAGCACATGTCTTAGGTTATGTGTGTATAAGATGCCTAATGAAATCGGAACAGGGCAAATCACGCAGCATGCGCGCGCTGCGAATGTGGAGACGGCGAGGTCATCCGCCAATGGCAACAACAACGCTCCAGGAAGGAGAAGCATTTCGACAACAGTGGGTGGTGAACACCAACCAGGCAATACATGAGGAGTCAAGAACGGGACAGTCAAGTAGTATATGAGCGTCATATGGGACGAGAGCAAGCTTCTCAACCACATGCCACCATGTCCTCAAGTGGGCCCCCGAGGTTAAGAAGACGCCGCGGGGACACAGACAGAATAATCACTCATGAGTGGGTCCGGAGACTTTGGCACTGTTTGACCGACAACCATTCCGTCCACTGTCATGCCTAGGCACTGATACGGATGACTGAGGGCCTCCTAGTTGAATTGTGCGATAGCATTGATCCAACGGCCCATATGCTGGGATGCCCCGGCAGATATGAGTTCGCCCGTCCATGACTATTCGATGAGGGCTGTGGTATTCTCTGCAGGGCTGGTTGGCATAAACACAAAAGCTTCAGGGCGGCTAACGATGCTATACAACAGAATCGGCTGGTAGACACACGCCCATTGCTTGAAAAGGGCTCTGACATCGGATAGTCAGTTCACCAAGCATCCGCATCACCATGTGACACGAAAAGTCCACACGCACTCACGCTCGAAACACCACCACCCTTTCCCCAGAGTGGTCCACGTTGCAATCGCCGAACCACTCTTTCAGTATGATTACGAACTGGTCGGTTCTCCTTTTCTACCTCGACTCTCAGCTTCGCCCAAAGTCTCGCCATTCCGTCGTGGGCCCGACGAGGCTGGCCAAGAGTATCTGGACAGACAGCAAGTGACACAACCATGGTCGCGCCTTGGGTTCATTCAGGACTCGACTGGGTACGCAACACCCATTTGGGGCTTCGTTGACACTGATGGAACGACGGGCGTGCCACGAAACCTACCCAGGGACCATGTGTCGCTGTCGAGCTGGCCACGGAGTTGGTGTCCCAGTCCACAGACAGACCATCGCGGTGCAACAGGCCACCAAGTACCGTCTCACCTCAACCCGAAACCCGGTGCCATGCTGCCCAACTGCCACCAGGCCCCGATGCCTGGGGACCATGGCAGACACCCAGGCTGAGGCCCTGTTCGCTAAATCAACGTATGACAAGGACACGGTGACCTGCGTACCCTGGGAGCGAAGAAGCTCGACCTTCAAGTGTTGCTGCATCCCAGCATTTCCTCGCCGAGCATGCCCCCCATCCCTTCACCCGCGCAAGCCCGATCTGGGAGCCACAAACCCCAAGAACGTACGAGCAATGCAGCGAAAAACAGCGAAAAACAGCGAAAAACACAAGTGGCATTGGCTGCTGTTCTGTTTCGTGCTTGTCACCCCGAGCAGCCACCCAGCAACCGCTGGCGGTGTTGTATGCCCCCCCCCCGTGCGTGCTCTGCAACCGTACCTGTGCCCTGTAGGGAAACCGTATGTCCGTCTGGACCCGCTCGGTTTTGGGATGGCCTCACTGTGAGACAGAGAGAGGCCCGGTCAGGCGGTGGCTGAGCTGTCCCACACGCGCCGGCATGCTTCTGGCACGTTTGGCAGGAGCCGCAGGATATGCCCGTAGCATATCAATCCATATCAATTCCACCAGGGGGGAAGGACCCCATGTACTATGTAGCGGGCGGATCTTCTCCGCAAAACCCCCCGGGGCGGGAAGCCGGACGGCAGATTCTGGTTCGTCGGCCGATCCCAAGCAGCGATTTTCCCTGTCTGCTGGCGGATAGACCCGCCCATGCAAAGGGGCTTGGGCAGGTCTCGGCCCGCGATTCTGGTCAGGGGTAGCCTCAGTAGTTTATTTTGACGTCCAGCCGCCTCCCTGCTTCGTCGCTCTTTGCCGGCAGGCCCAGGCCACGATACGCAACTCTCTCTCGCACCAGCCCGGGCAGTGGTAGAACTGTTGACGGTCAGTCGACCACCAGATCCATGGGTCTTGTCACTGGCCAATGGCAAACAAGCCATGTCGGTACAAGCCGTGTTGATGGCCGTGCAGCACATTCCAGTCCAGCCAGGCTGAGGCCACAGTCCCGCCAATCGTATCCGCAACGAGCACGCACTCGAGGTCAGGTCCTGGAGACCCGCAGGTGTTCGGCTGGAGGCGGTGGGATGACAGTCCTGTGGAAGCTGGTGGTACCCGTCGCGTTGCTCTTTCGAAGCGTGCTGTGTCTCTTGCCCCCCGTGTCACCCGTGCCATCCGTGCCAGCTGTGCCGCACCAAAATACCGTCCTTTCTAGGGCTGGCTGTGAGAAAGCGTCTGGCTGGGGGTGCCGCGTCGTCGAATGACCGAGGCTGTGCTTTCTTGTCGCACATCGTCGGGGACCAGAGATCTACATCGTGACTAGACATCCTTGCTGACTTGGTGGCACTCGACCGGCCGAGGATGCGTGCGTCCATTCCCGCACCAGATGGCTCGCCGAGCCCGTCGAAATGAGCATCGGGGCCCAGATCCCGGGGCCTCGTGTGTAGCACGGACCAGTGGGTGACTGGGGTCCATAGGGGGTTCATATGGGCTCGTATGGGCTCGTATAGACCACACCCCAGGCCGCGCGACTCTGTCTTTGCTGGCCAACAGAACAAGCAGTCTTCCCCACAGCAGCTTCTCCACGCATTGTTCTACCGTCTCGGGCCGGGATTTAGACAATATTTGCACTTATTGTTACAACAGACTTGGCCCTATCTTGGTCTCTCCCGGCGGCTGTGTCTCGTCTTTCTCTCACATAGATGTATCCCTACTCTACCTTGTGCTCTTTACATGTGGCACCCCCGGTCTTCTCCCAAACCAAAATGAACGGAGCACCTGACACAGAATGACGGCAGAAAGAAACCTCATTTTTGTTCTAACGGGTACCCGGATATGCAGACCGCGTAAATGCCTCGTCCCGTGAATATGAAGCCGCCGGACAATGAAGAAGAACGGCGATGATGTACTCAAGTTCCTGTCCCGGGGCGCCATGACCAATTTTTCTTTAAAGACCTTTCCACGGACCATAGATAAAGACCTTTCCACGGACCATAGATTTTAATTTGACCTGGAATTCCAATCTGAGACGCAGATACGCCGTCTTGACGCCGGGGCCATGGACTGGAGGCAACAGGTAAATGGAATGTGGGAACCAGGATATGGAGGGAAGAATTACAAAAAGAAACCCACTCGAACAACCACCAAAAAGTAAGCCCTGGCACACAAGATGCCGCGACGGGCGGGAGGACTCCTTTGTCAGCACCACACAAGCGTGAGCTTGATGTAGTAGCCGAGGAAGTGCGGAGACCAAGATACGCCCCCGACACGCTGGCGTGAAAAGCCGCCATGACGGCCCCGAAGTAGTGCCGCGGCCTTTTCCCTTTCTGGGAGAGGCATGGTGCCGTTGCACGTTGATGAAAACACATCCCTTCAATTGGGGTGTTTTCGCAGGGGGGCGAAATGCTCGGGCATGGGCTCGATGTGCCACACCTTGTCTGACTGCCGTTCAAAGGCATCAAACCACTCCCGCCTTAGGCTAGGCGGTATAGACCAGCCGAACGTCGAGCTCCGCAAACGCATGCGGACCAGGTGCCGCTGCGACGCCGCGTCGTTGACGAAACCGTCGCGGCGGTGAAGCACGGAAAGGTTATTTATGAAGTGGATGTCGCCGGCTTGGGTGGCGAACTGGAACTCAGTGGCCCGAGCGATAGCCTCTATGGCGTCGAGGGCTTCAATCTGCTGTGTATTTAGCGGAGGCAGGCGGCTCTTGCGAGGGTGGGCAGCTGATCCCAGGAGAGGAGCGCGGCCAAAGTTCATGATGAGTTTGCCGTCCTCGTGGAAGAGAACAGGACGACATTGGTACCGGGGACTATGAGGGCCGGGACAGGTGTGTTAGTCGGTGCTCGAAGAATAACAAGGCAATGACTTTTAAAGTCCAGTGGAGGCTCACAGCGCAAACGGCCAGTCACCCCGAGCGAGAACCCGGACAAGGTCAGGACGGGTGGCAGATAGGACATTGTAGACAGTCGTAGCCGAAGCAATGACGCATTTACCACCGGAGGCAGCCGCCCCTCGGGTGAGCCAAGAAACGATGTCTCCTGCCTCCTCGTTGTGAAAGGTCTGACACGCCGAGTCAGTTGGCCTGCAGCGCGAATAGCTCGTGCACGGGAACAAAAAACCTACAATGGGGTCTGTGGAGTGGCGGTGGTGATTTTCGTTGGCCTTGTTGGCGACAATGTGGACTGAACACGATCAGCCCAGCCTCTCATTGTACTGCGGGGAAGGGACGACCTACCCAGCATATTGCCGAGCTTGTCCTGACGACCTCGCTTGTCAGCAACGTATGAGGCGATGCCCATATAGGCGAGGGTCAAGTCCTCGACACTATAGTCTTGGGGATTTATCCCGCGAATGACGGCGAACCCCAGGCCGTTATGGACGTCAAGACTAAGCTCCACAAGCCTAGGCCCAAGCGTGGGTAATTTAAACGTATCGACACTGACATGGGATCCATCGAGCCCCAGTTCTGCACCCGAAAACAATCAACACCAGCTTCCACCCAGCGGTTGTGGCAGCCAAGTAACGGGGGATGGATGCGGAACAGTGAGGTGATGCCGCGATTTTATTGCGCCTACCTTTGAATGCAACCACGGCCCTGTAGATCTCAACACGCTCTCGTTCTGTGAGATGGCAGACAAAGTCTGTGTCTGATACCCTGGAGCCAACCCAGGCACTCTTGCCATCCCTGCTTACGGGAAAGCCAACAGGAATGGCACTGAGGCCTGGAGTAGCGGGGGCGTTGTCCAGAAGGCTGGTCAGAAGGGTGTGTGTCATGGAATAGGCCATGACGGAAGACATGATGGACTGCTTGAGATTAGGTGATGCCGGTCCGCCTTGAATGATCCTGTTCAATGCTGAAAATGAGCCGTCACGGGCCGCTCTCCGGACGGGACTGCCAAGGGCGAGGTAGACGTGAAAGGAGGATGGTGATATAACGGAGGGCCTGATATCCAGGGCGCAGTCAGGATTTCGTGGATGGGGTCGGAGTTAAGTATGAAGGGATGTGCAGGTGATGCTGTGTGCCGGCGAGTTGGGCTTAATTCTGGGGCCTGAAGAAGATTTGTGGTCTCGGGAATGAAAGGTTGAAGTACACACAGATGTTGTGATCGTGTGGAGCACGAGGACCAGGACGAGATGTTGGGGGTCGGGCGAGAAGAAATACTTGGATGTGAGGAACGCTACGGTCAATAAAGGAGTGGGAAAAGCAGTCTTAGTAGAATGCTGGCCGAGAAACAACTCCTTGGATGTGCTTTAAGTGACAGCACCTAATGGAAGAGGCAGGATAGCAGTAATGCATGCCAGGAGGTGATGTGGGCAGGAAAAGCATCGCCGAGCGTCACTCAAATGGGAGAGCTACTCAGTATCGGTGTTATGCATCAAGCTCTGGTGAGGGTGTGCGTGTGTTTGTCTGTGTGTATGTGTGTGTGTGTGCGCGCGCGTGAGAGAGAGGGAGAGAGAGAGAGAGAGAGAGAGTGTGTGTGTACCTGTAGGCCGGCTTCAGAGAGGGAAACAAAGAGAAGGGACACGGCAGCTGCAGGCAGGTACCCTTTTTGTGAGATTGTGAGGTTCTCATTGTGTCGCGGACGGAGGTGGTGGACTGTAGCAGTACAGCGCTGCACAGTGTTGTTGAAGTGATATCCACCATTTGGGGACTTGCATATATGCAGGCAGGAGAGGCCCAGTTCACCAGCATTCCATGAGGTGACGTTGAGTTGAGGCTGTCAATCAGCTTCAGTGCAGCCAGCAGGCCGCCGGGAAGCAACCTCTCGGGTCTCTTCAACGCCAATAGAGAAGGGCAGTGCCCACCCCCCCATCCAGTGGCCTGTCACTCATCCTTGGGCATCACAGGCAGGCGACAACGAGGGCCCTGGGGTCCCCATGCACAGGGATAACTAGAAGCCTCGGAAACGAACTTTGGAGACTTGTGATCCCCACCTCGAAGACTGACAACGAACATCTGCCAAGGGAGAAGAGACACAAGCCACACAGGTTTGGGCACCCGGACAGGCAGGGAAGAGAAGGGGGGAGGGGGGAGGGGGGAGGAGAAGAGGAATGGGGAAGCAGGTAGAAGGGGCTTGCAGTTGGCAGTTGGCAGGCTTAGAGCCGTCGATAGTGAATATTGATTTGAGATTCGGAGGGCGATGGCGGCCAAAGGCATCAAGCCATCACTTACCGTCATGGCAAATGAGATACGCGTCTAACTAAGGAGGGATTGTCTTGGTTCTGCAGGTGATGGCTGAGGGGTCGCTGTCCCGCGAAAGTAGTAATGCCGGCTCATGGGTGTTCAAGGGAGCAAGGCTAGCTGATACGAGAAGGGGGAAGGGGGGGGGGGGGTTGGGCGTGCAGAGACCAACCCGGGCAGAGAGGCATCTAGCAGCTCGACGCGCATAAGTGAGCCGATGCAAGCTCTGCGGGAGAGGAGCCCACCCGTCCCAGAGGCCCAGGCACGGAGGGGGAAAGCAGCGAGGTCCGCAGTGAAACCGATGCTGCGCTGCACAGCCACTTGGCGATTTCCCATGCGATGGCATGATGAACTCTGAAGGACCGTAGGGTAGCCCGGGGCCACTCACGGCAAGGTAGCATCGCCGTACGGCTAAGGAAGGTCCCACAGAGAATTTTTTTTCCCTGAAATCTCAGGAGACGGGAACTTCAGCCGGGACTCGTGTGGCACTTGAGCGGGTGGCCGGTGCCCATCCATCCAGGCTGCCAGGGAACCAGGAAATCAGGAGCAGTCGACGGATGGCGACGACGGCCGCGGCAAGAGACAGGGAACAATATTGGGAGAGCCCTGGCAGCTTACAGTGTGCATCGGAGGCTTGCTGGAGAAAACTCTGATGTCTTTTCTGTGCCGCAAACTGTGGGGAGGGCGCATGTCATATCCGTCCGCCTGCGTCGAGTACAGTATATACGGCCGTACCCGGCGACACGGCCGAGGGTCGAGACCCCTCCCCCCCGAAGCCCCCCCCCCCATGTGGACGAGCGAATCCCGTGCAGTCATTATGATGTTTTGCATGCCACCGCGGCCTGGGCTCGGTGCAGCTGTGACACCACTGGCGCATGTCCTGACGGCAACGCGGAAGCATGGAGATGCTCACAACTGATACCGATCTGCTACCCGTGATGGTGGTGGTGGTCGGGGTAACGCAGTTGTGCGTCCAACAAACATGCAGCTCGTGGCAGACGGCTGGGGCGAGCGTGTTCAGGTGCCATTGTACAGTACGGTACGGTAGGCAATCCTGGCAATGCGTTGGGCCGGGCCTTGACAGGTCAATGACGGATCTTGGCAGAGAGATTCAGACCCTGCCCCATCTCGTCTTCACCAGCCTGCTCCCGTCGTTCTTTCGCGGACGCAGGAAAAGGGACGCCGACCGGAGCCGTGGATGCTGTACTGCCAGGGTCAAAGAGTAGCAAACACCTGTCACCGGCTGCGAGCCGCCAGTCTTAGGCATGCAGGCAGGCAAGGAGGCAAACACCTGTGGACTGTGCATGCTGCGCGGCCGCGTGATAGGCAGGCTTTGATATGAGGAGGGGAAGGTGGTGGTGTTCGGTGCCGCGTCTCCAAGAGCATCGTGACGAGGGATGGAGTTCTGGCTGTTGGGCCAGACAGGGTCCATCCAAAAGGGGGCCGACCTGGACCAGAACTGGGCGGGGTTCAAAGAGAGAAGGTGACGGGCACAGAAAGAGCCGAGTTGGAGCCTCGGAGACTCTGTGAGCGGCATCAATCTCGAGAGGGGGGAGGGAGCGCACATCTTCACAACGGTCTTGTGCGACCCAGCCGGCCTGTGCCTAGATCGTGTCCTCGTCTGGTACTGGTCAAAGTATCGGAGCGGCCAATTCCTATCAGCAATCTATGATCAGTCGACTTGCCGCGGGCCACTGCTGGGAACGGGAACGGGAACGGGAACGGGAACGGGAACAGACAGGGCCAGACAGAATTGGCAAAAAAAAGGGGGGGGGGTAAAAAGAAAAGCAACAGGAAGGAGCAGGCCATTTCGAGGTAGGCAAGTATAGCATTCCAGTGAAGTCCATGTGTGGGTAGATGGGCAAGACACAAAACGTGCCCTGCAAGGCGGGTCGGCATGTGCATGAATGGTTGGTTTGCCTGTTTGTTCAGGTGTGCAAATAATAGTCCGGCCCAAACAAAACCTTGACCGTTGCAGTCTGTTTTCTCCAAGGCTGCAGGGTGGCGTTGTAGTCACCCCCTTTTCTTTTTTCCTTTTCCCTTTCCCTTTTCCCTTCCCTTCCTTATTTTTTTTTTTAGAAAAAATAAATAAATAAAAAATCCTCTGCTTCTTTGCCTCTGTCCCTCTTCATCCTCACTGCCTTTTCCCCTCTCCCATTAGTTTGCGTCTCCTCCGGGCACATCAGACCATCTGGGTATGCAGCACGGTGCAGCCTAGCCCACGACCGATCACCCGCCCCCGGCAAGCTCAACGGGTGGGGAGGCGGCCGCGGCCTTGCTCGCTGCTGAAGAGGCGCACATCCCATTTTCGGAATGTCGGCCGGAGCTTACTCACAAAGAAGCATCTTCAGCCTGCCACTCCCCCCCACCCCCGATGGCGCCTTACGATTTGACGACAAGCCTGCCATTGCCATCACGGACATGCAGGCATGCAGCTCGCACCTCGACGAAACTGACCCTCGATCCGATCCGAGCTCCCTTTGCCAATTCAGACTAAGACTAACCTTGAGTTGCCAAGTCACTACCTAGGTAGTTCCGTCTGCCTCGCAACAGGATGCCAACCACAGAATCAATTCAACACGGGACACGGAACTGGGTTCATAGAACAGCTTGCGAGGCCGGATTCACACCCGCCTAGTAGTAAATGCGAATGCCTCAGGCGCCAGCTCCCCGGTCCTCGCCCCAGCCGTTTCTGACCGTCAAGGCTGGAACAGACTGCAAGAATCCCCAGGCAATCCCAGCCAGCCAGCCAGCCCAGCAGCCAACAAAGCGGCCTGGGGACCGAGAGTACATGGATCTTGCCCTCTGCAGCAACACTCGAGGGCCATGTTAGGACCCAGTCGTTCGACATTCTGTGACCGTGCCTCCCAAGACAAGCAATTTGCACGCCTTGGGGACTGGGAAGGACCGGAAACGTGGTATTGAAAACATGAAACGGAACCCAGGCCACCCACAGTACACGCACGCAGTCCCCTCAAAACAGACAAAGACTAGACAGACGCACTTGGTACGCAAGCCAGCCCATCTCCTCATCCCGCCCAATCATGTTACATTTAGCCTTCCCCAACCGCTCCCGGCTTTTTTCCCTTGTGAGGGGAGGGGGGCGCATTTTTGATGGTCGAAAGAACCCCCCCCCCCTTTTGTTTTTTTTGGCGCTGTGAAAGGCGAGGCATGCGACCGGTGTGGATCGTTGACGTAGCTGGTTGGTGGGGGTGTTCGTGCGTGTCCTACGCGGGAGCTAGGGTGAGGGCTGCAAGAGCAGCCGTAGGCCCACACCGGGCAGCTCTGCCCTTCACCCGGTAGGCGAGAAGGGACAGGGTTCCGATGAGAATCCATGGAAGCACCCCTCCGAGGCGAGCTCTTCATGCAGGCCTGTAGGTGCTGCAGGCGGATGGCCCACATCGCTTGCCAGTGCCAATTCTCCGAAGACCTATACATGGCTGTGGAAGGGGTAGATCGGAGCCCTGCCGTTTGCGCTGTGCGGCTTTCGCGCCCTTGTCCCCAAACACTCTCCCCACCTAGTCAACTGCTGTTGACTGCGGCGTCCAGTTCTGCTCGAACAACTGTCTGATGAAGTAGTAGTCGTTGCCGTAGTCCTTGGCCACTTGCAGATCGTCCCACTGACCCTCTATTTTGCAGTATGCGGTCAGCACCTTGATATGATCCCTCGGCCCCCATTAAACCTGACATCTGGCGTCTGCACACAAGACAGAGGGAGCGAGGCGGAGAGAGGGGGGGGAGGGGGAGGGAGCTTACTGTGCTCCTTGGCATATTTCCTCGTGTACTTGATGAAATTGATCGACCCTTCGTCCAGCTCGGCCAAGTTCTGCAGGTCAGAATCCTTGCATTCTGTCGAGAATGGATAGACTCCCTTGTTGCAATAATGGTAGTAAGCCAGGAAAATATTCGCACCTGCCAACCAGGTCAGCCCACCATGAAAACAACGGTCCTGTACTCCCTCATGTTCGGAGGATGCAACATGGTCGGAGGTTCTGCAGCCGTACTTACCCAAGTGGTACTGTTCGACCATATCCTTCCTGGCAAAGTTGCTCTATTGACAACTGCGGTCAGCCGTCCAGCCGTCCAGCTCATGCTGAGGTGGGATTCTTACCTTCAGGCCGTGCTTCTTTGCATAGCTGCGGTCATGAGCAGTGATAAGAGCCACGTTGTGAAGTAGAATAAACGTGACCAGGTACGTCGTCAGCCAAGTCTTCTGCTTTTTCGCCTGCGTCATGTTCTGCAAGTACTCCAAGGTTTCCCTTCGCAGCTTCGGCAGCGTCTGGTTGAGGAGGATGAAGTCAAGCTGCGCTCCCATGACAGGTGGGATGGGGACGTTTCCTTTGAGCGGTTGGATACCAAGCGTCTCCTCCCCAATGATCTGGAACGATTTTGTCGTCAGGCGGACAGCTGCCCACAGGTCGAGGGTCTTGGAGATGAGGTCCTTTTCGTCTGTAGGCGTCTCCGGCCTTCTCAATCGGCGGATCGCGTGTTCATACGTCCTCCAGAGCAACTTCTCCTTGGGCCCAAGCAGCGCCTTGAGCATACCATTCAACCCGGACTTGAGGTAGCTGTCGTATTGCGCCCTCGCCCCTTCGAGATCAACCAGCGCGTACGGTTCTATGTACCAGCGCTGCTCCTCGCCATTTTCGAACCAGGTACGGTGTAACCTGTCGCCGCTCTGCTTGACGAATCGGCGGACTCGCAGCTGAACACCATCCGAATAACCCTCGGTCAGCCTGATGATTTTGACGTCGGGAGAGTCCCACTGGCAGATGTCTGGCGCCATCGTGGTGTCCTTCCAACGCCTTGTCCACTCCAGTCCCTTCACTTGGCCCGGCTTGAAGAGCCTGACTTCGGTGATCTTCCACCGTTTGCACGGAAGACGGTGGATCTTGGAGTTTGCGCCTATCTTCCTGCAACCATCACACGGCGCATCGTGATCGTCAGGGGCATCAGTGTTGGCTTCGCACTGTCCTCGAAAATCAGCATGCTGGACGCTGAGAGGGTTAGCCTTCGAATGATTTTGCTTACTCTGATACGTTGCATGCGGCATCGTATGCAACTCCCAATCTTTCTTACGTGCGCAGTCTGTTTCCTCTTCTCTTGGTTCCTGAAAGGCCCTCGCTTCGTGATCGGAGGCTTTTGATTTTGCATGACCATCTCCAGCCCGCTGCCTTGTTGGGCCAACTGGAAGCGGTCCATTTGCTCGGCGTTGAGCCCGTCAATTGGGTTGTAGCCATGAAGGAATGAGTACTGCGGTAACGGTGCTTGATAGCCAACTACACCTTGGCGGACGAAGTTTTCCTCTGACCTAGCAAGACCAGAATGTGTGTAAGAATTCTCTGCCGCCGTATGAAGCGGTGCTGCACTGCTGTGAAACCCAGACACTGTAAAGCCGGGGTCCGTCCCTTCTGACTTGACGAATGTTGGACTGGCTTCTGACTTTAGATATCCGTGATTCGTGTCTTGGGCAGCATATACCATGGTGTCTGAGCTGGTGGTGGGCTGGTTGTTTAGGTGACTTGTTGGCTGGAGTGGGGGATAGCCTTGCAGGTGGGTGGCATGTGTTGACTCATCTGTGCCAAAAATCAATGGGTGCTGAGGGTCGTGGTGTGAGCCTAAGGGATGCTCGGGGATGTGACCTGGTGAGAGCAAATCGGACGAGTATGCCCGTGGTACCACGCCCTCATACGGGGCTGTCGACGGGATTGGATGGTATGCTTTCGGTCGTTTGTAAGTCTTTGCAAGCGATGAAGGGACGGTGCTCTTACCTGCTGTCGTGTCAAGGCCGGAGAACGGCGGGCGCATGCCAGCCATTCCTAGGCATCTGCGAAGAGAGGAGGTAGTCGCGCTCATGCAAGATTGTTGGCTCTCATCTTGTCCGTCAGATGGCCCGAGGACTGGTGGCTTCTCATCGTCAACGTGGTTCGGGAGGCATCTGGAAATAAAGGACGGTATCGGCATATTTGTCGAATCAACCCGCTGACGTTTTCGAGGGTGCTGGCGGTGATCTGTTTCGAGATAGTGTTGCTGCTGGTGCTCTTGTTGCTGTCGTTGTTGTTGTTGTTGCTGTCGAGGCGCGGGCGGGGGCGGCGGGGGTTGTTGTTGTTGTTGTTGCTGTTCTTGGAAAGCCTGCTGGTGACTATGGCCCTGTTCGGTGTATTGCTGGGTGAATTCTGGCAGGGCCGGGTACGGGAAGCGAAGAAGTTCCGCGTTATTGAGTGTTGCGTTTGGTTGTTCTGGGAAATAGAATTGATGTGGAAAAGAATATGTGACTGGCCCTCCGAAGGAAGATGCCAGAGATTGGTCTTGTAGTGCTTGCTCCGATGTATCATCGAGATAGCCACGAACGCGGCGTTGGGTGAGATGGCCACTCTATATAACATCAACTGACTGCACCATCAGGCTTGGGGATGGGGGGGCGAGTGTGCACTAATGACGGAGGGCAAGGTGACACAACAAAGAGAGGTGCGAGGCTAACACAAGAGGCGAAGCGAGCAAGAGGCCGAGGCAAGAAATGAAGATGAGTATGTGGCCATGTGTACAGCAGAAGGCTGGGAAGGGTGTTGATTATGACGGTTAGGGATGAAGAGAGTCCGATGATATATCCAATGCAGTCTGCCGCAACCGGGGAACAGGAACTGGATGAGCTTACCATGACTGCAGAGAGGGTGTGTTGGGAAGATGCCCACACACAGTAAACGTATGAGTACTTCGGTCAGAGGTACCGGGTGCACGAAGCAAGGAACCTAAGCCCGGTGAGTGAGCCAAGCAGCAATGCTAGTTGTTTGAGGCGTTGGTCGCAATGCCAGAGCCAGGAGCCGCAAGTACGGGCGCAGGATCAACACAAATCGACACGGACAAGGAGAGGGAAGGAAAAAGCCGACTGATTTGAGATACCGGGGTGGAGAAGGGGTGCAATTAGGTGTCCACGCAGCTGGGGTTCCTTACGGCACGACCATCACCATGGTAGCAGAGCACCCTTGGCAGAACAGTGTGGACCACTGCAGCAATGAAGGGCGACGGTGCAGAAAGTGGTGACCAGGCGGGGGGTGGCTGTATCGAGATGGAGGTGCAGGGGGGGGGACTGATGCAAGCACGGCAAGGTACAGAGGAGTACAAGCTACCTCACTAGGTCTGCCGCGAACCGTCCAGTCGACTGGCTCTCCCAAGACACACCGTGCCCGGCCCTAGTTCTCCTGATTCTTCTGACCGAGTCTGACAAGTGCAAGACGGTGAGCGCCTTGTCAGGGAACAGCGGAAGCGGCCCAGGATGTGAGGCGCGAGCCAGGCCGGAGAACGCAGTCGGAAGAGCCACTCCTTCAGATAAGCAGGTTGGACGAGCTTTCAATAGCTCGATCCTTGTTTGTTTGGGTGACCGTCCAGCCAAAGGGTCTCAGGTTGGTTGGAGCAGTTGCCTCGCAAGCAGAAATGTGTAGGTAGGCCTGTAGGTACGCGCACTGAGGTCGGCCCTGTCGTGGCGGTCGGCCTTACACAAAGCGCCACAGCCGCCGAGGTGGCACAGGACTCTCTGGGACGGACAGAGGGGCAGGAAGCTGGGTTGGCGCCTAGGGCAGAGCTTGGACTCGCAGGCGGCGCTGGCACATGGGGCCCGTCTAGGCTGTGTTCACGCGGGCGTATGACACGGTGCTCCGTGGTTTGTCGTTGCTTCCACCCAGCCGGTCAAGCCCACGGACAACAATGCATGTGCAAGAGTTGCCTCGGATGTGGAGACACGAGGAGATCAGAGCGGGTCGGGAGTGCCTGAGTGCCTGCAGTTGGGAGTCGATCCTTACGACCGGTAAGGAAGCGCCGGGCGAGCGCCGCTGTCTTTGATTGCGACGTCAGCGAGAGGATTCGAAGAATGACTAACGCATTGTGTAGCTTAGACAGAGGGGAAAAGCAAAGCACGAGGAGGAGAAAAAGCATAATCAGGGGGATAGAACTCGGTGAGAATGGCCCGGTGGGGAAGCGGGTAAGTTGTGGGCGGCGTGCATTGGTGCAAGCCCAAGCGCACTTCGGCAGAGGCGCCCTGGCTGCAATGCCCTCAACCCTTACACCGGTGATTGCTGCTGCTTCTTCTGCTGCCATACGGCTTGACGAACGAGGATCTAGCTAAGAGACCTAGGTAGGAAAGAGGGGTAGTTACAGCTGAGCACCGTCCGAGACTTGCAAAAGAGGCCAGGCGGGGTGAGGCGAGGCGGACGATGATGGGCGGCCTGGGGCCGGTACCTCACGTGAATAGTCAAGACGAGGCCTGAGGTGGCAGGGTGGGGGACTAGGACAAAGCAGCGCGGTCGGGGCGCGAATAAGAGATCCCGGGCGCGGATGGTGATGCGGCCAGGGGTGCAGCACAAATGGCTCAACGTCGTTTCCGTGCGGTCTGGTCCGTCCTGGTAATGACAGATCTCGGCTCGTTCCGTCCGCATGGGAGGAAGAGCTCGCACCGAGAGAGATGCTGGCGGGCCGGTATGCAAGTGTTTGCCAGTGAGAGGGACAGACTGTCTGCCGGTGGGTCAGTCGGTCGGTCAGTCAGTCAGTCAGTCAGTGGTTTGAGTGAGTGCTTGTCAGTCTGCTCGGCAAGACGAAGACCACCCGTCGTTCAAGGGCCGGCAGGCCGGCCGGTGAGGTGCGAGACCCTGGAGCGGTCAAGAGACTGAGCAACGGGGCAGGTGATATGATGACAGGAGCCGAGGGCACGGCAGATGGCGCGGAGATGAGTGAGCGGGCGACGGTTATGGAGAGCAGCGGTCGAAGTCCAGTCGTCCCGACGGGCTTGCGGCTGAGCTGCGACACAACTGCGACAGTGCCAACTCACAGCTTGCTGCTGTACGTCTTCTGCTGCAGTTTGCGGCCTGGGGCCTGGGGCCTGGGGCCTTGTGTCTGCAGCAGGCGAGCAGGGAGAGCGCGAAAGGGTAAACCCAAGAGCAACAGAGCAACAGGGACGCGATCGTCAAGCGGGGCCCGGCGCAGAACAACGGTGGTGGACGGATTCCTGACCGAAGCTGACGATGCGGATCAGAGCAGAGAGGCCGATGAGGAGCTGGGGTTCCAAAGAAGGTTGGTGGTCGGGACGATAGGCAAAGGACGACAGGCGCAGGCGGGCCAGAGTGTCGAGGAGGGATATTAAGGCGGGCAGGCGGGCGGGCAGGCAGGCGGGCAGGCGGGCAGGCGGGCAGGCGGGCCCCTCGCAACATAGATCGCAGAGTAGGGCAGCTGGCAACAAGAGCAGGCGGCGTCCTGCTTCTGGGGTACCGAAAGCAGACAGCCAGACAGGCTCGGAGCGGCAGCAGCAGTGATGATGGCGGTGGCTGCGCGGGGAGATTGAAGGTTGGTGGTTGTGGTTGTGGTTGTGGTTGTGGTTGTTGTGGTGGTGGTTGTGGTGGTGGTGGCGGCCGTAAGCAAGCCTCGCTCTGGCCTGAGTGGTCGGTCTCGGTGGCCAAGTCGCAAAGTCACTCCTCACTCAGTCTGCCGTGATGTGCAGCTGTCATGTTCGTGCCGAAATGGGAGGGACGGACAAGATGGCGTCGTGCCCTGTGCCTGGCTCCCGTTGCGGGAAGGGGAACCGTCCCAACGGTGTCGGGCCCCGGTGGCCCAGCCAGACCCATCGCGTGGATTGGTTTGGACTGCCTGCACCCGCAGGACCACAGGCCCACAGGCCCCTGCTGGGTGGAGCCATGTTCCCTGCCCAGCACATGGCTGAAAACGATAGGGGAGTGTCGACAGAGCAAGCCGGCCGGGGGGTGGGGTGGTCCATCCAGGTACTCCGTCCGTACCGTACCCAGGTTGCCAGGCACCCATGGGCACCAAGGTAGCCGGTGGTGGTCTAGGTTGCCGCCAATCTCGTTGGTCCCTTGATCCCGGGTCAGCTCGTGGCCTGACTCGACTCCACCACCACCTCGTCCTCTTCCGCGCCCTCGCCCTCCCTTCTGCCCATCACATCTGCGCGTGCTCGTCACCAACTGTTCAAACGCTCAACGAGTAGGGACAAAGCATAGGCAAGGAAATGGTGCCCGTCGCAGCGAGGCAGGTGCGGGCGGGGCTGGCAGGCCATTGTGCCTCCTCCCCTTCCTTCTCCAGCCCTCTCTCTGCTCGGGCCGTGGTTCCATCTTTGTCTCCGACCCAGTACTCCGTAATCTTCACCCCAACCGGTCCATAAGTGCAGGGATGCCGGGATCCAACACAAAAGTGCGCGCATGGGTGGCACGGCTACTGTGTAAGCAGTCGCAGGGTTGCTCGAGCCTCGAGCCTCGAGCCTCGCGCCTCGAGCCTCCAAGATCATGCATACTGTGTAGGGACTGAGAGACTGATTGACTGAGCAACTGCTTATTAGCTGCTGCAGCGCAGCACGTGTGCTGGCCCCTCAGCACTTGTCCGCCTGCACTGCGACTCGCCGTGCCATCGGTTGCTTCAGGGGCAATCAATCGCTTTTGGTGGTCCGGCCAGCCTGCCACATCTCAAAAGGACAATGCACCTTTGCACGCCCGCCATCCAGGAGCCAGGCTCGGCACAGGTGCTGTCTGTCAGTCTGTGCAAGCTGTGTGCTTTGTAAAAAAAAATGGTAATAAATCCTGGCCTCGCCCATTCCGCCAGGACCCGACCCGGCTTCAGTGACGATCCCTGGCCCATCAGCCCATCTGCATGCACCCTCTCATAGGCCCAGCCGAACTTGGCGCCTCAATAACTGCCCAAATGATCAATCTCACCCTGCATGAAGACCTCCTTGCATCGAGCCGTGCGTCCAGTCACTGCCGGGCGATATACCCAGGCAGCCAGGTCGCTGCAAGCCAAAGCACAACAGCCTGCCAGCCTGCTTCCCTCGCAATGGCCTCGCTCGCTCCGTCCTGGCCCTCCCTGCCCTCCCTGCCCTCCCACCCCCACCCCCACCCCCTCTCTGCCTGTCCCACTGTCCCAGCGGTCATGTGTGCCGTGCCCTGCGTGCCTCCTTCATGCCTGTGGGCCTGGCAGACGCCGTGCTGACGTGCTCTCCATACCGCCTGCACGGCGTCAGCGCCATTCTATACGTGGCCGCCCTGCGTCCTGCTTACTCTGGTCATGGGAACTGCAACCCCCCCAACAATATCAGCATTGTCCAACCCCCCGGGGAAATGATTGGCGGGTGTTAATCCCAGCGACTGGGTTGTCACAACGTTCCACCACATGTGCCCGCCGCCCTGCACTTGTCTGAGCAAATGACCAAGATGCATTACTCCGTACCGCAACACTCGAGCCTTCCACCTCGTCGCTCTTGTCGTGCTGGCAGCCTGGCAGCCTGGCAGCTCGCTGGGTCGCAGACTGGCGACGTCTGATCGCATACCACGCCTACTACACTACTGCACAAGTAGGCTCGTGACTCGCAACGCGTTGTTGTCTCTCCAGTGTGCGCATGCCCGGGCCATCACATGTAGCCTGCCCTGCAAAACATCTCAGGCCGTTCTTACCCAAGCACCCAAGAGAGCAGCCGGCCTGCTGGATCGTGCACGTCTCTCCAACACACCGGGACCGAATCTCGCTTGGGTGCAGTGCGCCACTTTTGCCGTTTGCGGGATAACCCATGGCGGACTGCGCAAATCAGCGCGGTGCGTTGGCCCAGACGGGCAGGAGCTTGACCGCATGAATGTATCGACCGACCGACAGTGCATGTACGCGAAAGGAAAGCAAACTTGAAAGGTCTAAGATGGGGGCTATTCAGGGATCGTGCATGGGGGCGCGACTTTGACCCAACAGGCTGGTCAGCCTAGCTGATGATAGGAGCGCTGCCGATTGCCATGAGTATTGTGCATTGGCTTGGCACCCGGACACAGCAAGACCTCTCTCTGCACACGGTGGCAAAGGTGGCCTGGCCACTGGTGAACACACGCGTGTGGCTTTCGGCTTCACGGCGAGCATCGATCAAGGCCTGCCAGACAAGCCGGCGGCCACAGCAGGCACTGGCATGGTCCGTACGACTCCACAGGTAGGTGTCGCCGGGCCTCGCGGTCGAAAAAGGGCCAGCGTTGCCCAGTCCTCGGGCTGCACCTTGGCGATCAGAAGGTCTCGCGGCGAAGCTTGCTGTACAGCAGCGATGGCGAAAAGTCAGGCCCACCTACCCTTTTGAAGGAAATCTTCAATTTCACACCCTCCAGTGAAATTTCTTGAAAAGTCCGCTAAGCCTAATTGGGTATTAATATGGGCCTCTTAGTAAGGGTTAGGGTTACCCTGATCCTTAAGTCCACCAGGTCTTAAATATTTAGAAGGTACATAAAGTTGTATAGAAGATACACTAAAATGGGAAGTACCCTATAAAAGTAAGGTACCCATAAAATAAGTCAGACTTACCCAACCTGGTGAAATGAAATCTGGCTGGCTGACTGAAATATTTCGACTTCGAAAATTTCACTGGCCATCGCTGCTGTACAGGCTATGCAGCCTGGGCGCCGCAGCCCCCGAGATCGATCGCCATGTATTCGAGCATGCGTTGTACCACGCTCCACACGTAGTACTATGTAGCACATTTCGCAGGTGCGGGTCTTGGATCGCTAGGGCCTTCTGACAAGTCATAATGCGACTGGCTGTCAAGGCCGTCCACCCATCAGTGACGTCTATGACGGGCGAGTGAGCCCGTGTCGGCAGCACGATTCAAAGGTTTGTATCACGATATGCCCTCGCTCCTCGTTGGGATCCAACAGGCTAGTGATGGGCGCCCTGCAACATGCCCTTCCGAGCTGATACAGAATGCGTTGTGAAGGCGGGGACCTTGCACCTGAATCCTTCCCTGGGGCACAGCGACATGGAGGCCAAGTACTGCAACACAATGCTTCCTACTGCCATACCTCCCACGGCGCAACCCACTGCTTTATTAGTCTGCCTACAGGTCCCAGAGACTCACGGTCCTACAGACCGGTCAATGGATGCCTGGATGCCAGCTGTCCGACAGGGCAAACAAAAGACCGTCACTCGGCCATCAGAATTGCATCACGGAGCCGGGTTGCCACCCTGACTAGCGCAGGGTGGCGCATCATGCTTCCTTACGATCAAGAAGAGTCAATTGACAACAGGCTAAGAGCAGCAGCAAGCCATCAGCCATCAGCCATCAGCCATCAGCCATCAGCCATCAGCCATCATTACACCGCGACCAAGACAAAAAGCAGAACGTTCGGGGACAGACGTTGGAGTCATTTATTCCTTCGATTCGGCTCTGTCTTGGTCGGCGACAGTCCCTTGGTATGAAGAACTCTGCTGCGTGGGGTGTGCAGCAAGATTCAAGGAGAGCGAGCCCCACTATTGCTATTGTTCCTTGTCCACACGTGCAGAGACTGCGTTCCCGCGGCTCGCGTACGAGTTAGCGGCAACGGCGTTGGCTTTGATAGCCAGGCACCTCCCCATTTCCGGTACCAGACACCCCTCACTTGAAATACATGCACGGATGGCAGTGACAAGATGAGGTCCCGGCGGAGGAAGCACCGTCCGTAATACGCCAGCCTACGAGGTCTGTTCCAGCGCTCCAGGCTCGCTCGTTGTCGGTCATGTAAAATCGTACTCGGTACACTGAAAATAGTAGATGGCCGGCTGACTGCGCGGGGTTGGTCCTTATTTTCCTTTTCCTTCCCCTCCCCCGCACCCTTCCCCCCTCCTTTTTTCTTCTAGCCTCGTTTTTCTTTTCTTCTAGTCTCGGTTCTAGTCTCGTTTTTCTTTTCCCCTCCTCTGTTGGCGTCATTCCAGCGAGGTTCTGACCGCTTGGAGGCGGGAGGCAGCCAGGTATATCCTGACCCAAGACAGCGGCTCGGCGGGAAGACCCAGCAGACCTGTTCCCTGCATGCAGAACAGTGGGGAGTAGGCGGAGTATCAGTATCTGAGCATTGAAGCCGCTCGGAAACGGCTGGCCATGCGGGTTTGGACGGCCGCAGCACGGTTTGCGGCCAGTGTCGGCGGGAATGCTGGGACGAGGCCCGGGGCTGTGGGAGGGGGGGGGACGATCTGCTGACAGCATACCACAGTAATTGACAATGGGGCACGGTTGGGGCGCTTTGCCTGTTGAGGGCATGTCGCCATGCCACATGGGCCTCTGTCGAGGGTTGGCCAGGGCTCCAGGTTGGCGTGACCGGTGAGCGATTGACCGGTGCAGAGAGGCGCGGCGGCGGTGGGGGTGTGCCCTCTGGCCCTATGCGGCGACCGGTGAGGGAGGGTTCCAGCGCAGGGCAGTTGGTGAGTGGGGTTAAGTAAGTACCTACCCGAGTGACCTATGTAGGTAGGTACCTGGGTGCCTACCTAAAGTAGGTAGGCAGGGCGAATGCAGGGCAAATGCAAGGGATTGCTTCTCTCTGCCTCGGTGCTTCGCGTGCTGCTGCTCACCGGACTGTGCGCGGTACGTTGCGACGTCTATCACGGTACCTGGGGGGCCTTAGGGACCTTGGGCATGTCCGTGGTGCTGAACACCCCCCCCCTCACCACGACCCAACCAGGCCAACCTGCCAACCCCCGACGGCCGGCTTCCAACAGCTTGTGGGCCCCTTGTCGTGCCGTCTTGAGCACTGCGCCAGGCCTGCGACAGCCCCGTCCTCCGAGCCCGTACCCGGCGCCGAGGGCGGCGTGCCGTCATGCGTGTGCCCTGGACCCACCCATGCCATGCCCTAATACCACCTCAAGGAGAAGCAACCAGAGCCATGGCGCAGCCGGTCCGTCTGTGACGAGGTCTGTGACGAGGTCTGTGACGACCGAACTGCGGCCTCCAAACTGCGACCTCAGTCACTGCACTGGCCAATATCACCAGGCAGTCAGTCATGTACGCAAACCAGCCTCGGACACAAGTACAATGCTGCAAAAGCCCCCCCGTCCCCGGTGGTCTTGCCCAACCGGGTGACGGACCACTCGGCCAACAAACATGCATGAGTACATATCTGGGTTCGCTGCTCGAGAATCCTGATGCGTGTCGAGTACAAAACCTGCCGTCCAGACCCGCACATCCATCTCCAACTCGGTCACGACCACAACATACAGCAACAGCAACAGCAACAGCAACAGCAACAAAAAAAACAAAACAAGTCCTCTCCTGGCTCGCTCTTCCTGGCCCCAGCCTCGGCCACGTTCACGTGCGCACATTGGCCTCGAGCATTGCCGTGCCAACGGCCCGTGTGTCAGTTCTAGCAGGTGGAGAGAGAGAGAGTCCGCCGGTGCCTCAGACACCCACCGCGCCCAAAGTAAGCCACAGTCTAATCTAACATGCTCCCCCGTGGAATGCCCACCTGGGCCAGTGTCATTTGATGGTCGGCCTGCTGTCAGAGGCCGCTTCCAGTACGATGCTCTCCAGGGGGAGGACCTCCACCCGGGGAGTGGGACTCCTGAGCCCTAGCCTTGCCATGTCCTCTTGGAGTTGCCCGCAAATCCTGACAACATCCTTTAGGCCCAATCAGAAGAGCCTCCCCTGTACCATCGGGTTGAGAACCTGCAGGGGAACCGGGGCCGCCGCGTCTGACGACTCGCATCCCACCTAACCCCCACCGCCCAGCTTCCCCGGAGACGCCAGGCCAGGCCCTTGGGGCAGCTGGTCCGCTTGGTAGCCTTTTGTCATAGGCTGCCTCAGATCTGGACACCTGCGGTTCGGCACGAGCCTGCCGGCTCAGGTCCGGCCTGTCAGATATCACCCGTGGCATCAGGCCGGGCTCCTGGGGCTTCCGTGGGAGATACCGGGGAGGGCCACGACCAGCTCCCGCCGTCTGGCATACAAGTCTTTTGATTTTCGCAAGCATAATCACCATCCACACTCGCTCACTTCTTCCCGCGGGTGCACATCGTCACCAACGGCGCAGACAGCCGCAACGAAAGCCCATGCGCACCCGCCTTTTCCAGAAACAAAGAACAAGAAGCCCGCTCAAGGCCACGACGTCGACCTTTCGACATGGACTTGACCCCGGAGGCGATCCACGACGTGATACACCCGACAGCCATCTACGAAGTGCCAATCGACCGCCTCGTGCCCGTCCAAGACCCGGCCGACACCCCAGAACCGGCCTGGGATGACTCGCAACTAAACATAAAAAACCGTATCGACAGCACCACTCCTCTGCGATCGGCGCTCTGGAGCATAGATGGCGGTGCAGGGCTAGGGACCCAATTTTTTGTGGTTGCCAACTTCATTCAGGATGCGCCCCCGATGCGCTTCGACGTCTTCATATCCGAAAAGGCCACCGAGTCGAGGTTGATACGGCAGCTCCTGGACCTGGATGGTGCCTTTCACGCCCGTGACCGCAGCCGGGTCCGGCAACAGGCGATCGCTTCCTACATCGTAAGAGCCCTGCAGATATGGACGACCGAGGTGTATGGGCTCGAGAGGGTCAGGGACATGTATTACAGCCAACCCTTCGGGTCCCGCATCGTTTTTGAGACCCTCCCTTTGAACGTCCGGGATGCCAAGATTGTCATTGGCCCAATGCATAATCTCGAGTACCACCAGCTTTCCCCTCGGGAGTTGGGAGAGATGTGGGAGATGGACGCCGAAGAGATTCCGTCGGCCATTGACATTTTCAGCCTGGTCTACGTACAACAGTTGCAAGACAGCGTGTGCCTGGTCAAGTATCGCGGGGATGAGGGGAAGGGGATGCTCTGGGCGCTCAAGGCTCTCGTCAGCAGCGTGAAATACATGTACCACGAGCTGAGGAACCTCCTGAGAATGCCATCCCACCCGAACGTGCTCGGCAGACCGACCAGATTGGTCACAAAAAAGACACGCTCCAACGCCAGGAGGACGGTGGTCATCGGTTTCCTGGAGCCCTATTACTCGGGGTTCAACCTGCGAGACATGCTACCAGTGCTGCGGTTGAACAATATGCTCCACCTAGAGGACCAGATCCGATGGGCCAAACAAATATGCTCGGGGCTGCTCCACATCCGACATAAGGGCAACATGTACTACGCGGACATGCGGCTGGACCAGATAGTCATGACGCACGACAATGTGAGGCCGGTCATCCTCGACTTCGAGCAGCGGGGGGTCTGGTGTGAGTTCGCTTCCCCAGAGGTCAACGCCCTCGAGTACATGCGCATTCTCGCCAGCGACGACTACGACGAGGATGATTATTACGGCGACGAGGATGACGGGGGCGACCGCTACGCGACGGTTCCGACGGCGGCCGAGACTGCCCAGCTCCGCAACCGCGCGCTCCGTGCTCGCTACGCCGCCCTCCTGGGTCGGCTGCACCCGGGCTGGCGCGACCTCGATGGCCCCGATGGCCACTACCGGAACCCGCCACACGGTTACAATGTGGCCTGGGCGTGCCTAACACCCGCGGAACAGGAGGCCGCCGAGGTCTACATGCTGGGCCGCCTTCTATGGTGCGTCTTCGAGGGCATGAGCGCGCCACAGCGCGGCGCAGTCTGGCAATCGTATCGTAACGAGCCTGAGTTTGAGTTCCCTTGCTTCGTGCGCACGCCCCAAAGACTCAGGGGTCTCATCGAGCGGTGCACCGCCGGCAGGAGGCCGCAGCTCAGCGGCCTCGTCGTCCGTAGGGGAAACAAGCTCGAGCTGCGGTGCGATGGTGCCGCCCACGCTCCCGCCGGCGAGCTGCAGCTATCTGGGCCGCCGGAACCGATGCAGCATCTGATCCGCAACTCGGGCCGGGATGCCAAGATCCGCACCATACGCCGGATTGCTGCCGACTTTTGGCGGTCAGAGATAGACTGGGCTGAGGAATTCCTGCTCGACAGAGAGCAGAAGATGAAGGAAGGGGTTTGGGAGGAAAATTTCTTTGGCCGGCCCTCTCTTGCGGAGGTTGATGGCGCTTTGGCAGCTTTCCAAGCGTGAGGCGACAGGGGAGTGAGTGACCTGAGAGTGAGAGATTTAGAAATGCTCCTAGTTCTGTGGGAGCCACGTAGGGCACCTCATGAACGCGCTCTGCGCCATTGGCGATGGTTCATATAGAGGGGAGGGTAGGTGCGACCGGCCTGGTGCCCGGAAGCGCCTTTGCCTTTCCCCCCCTTACCACTTAGGCAATCAGTCGTACACACAGGCAGCATTGTTTTCGATGACACTTGGGCCGTCATAGTATTAGCCACGCCACGATCAAGACCATAGAGGACTGAAAAGACTGAAAGGGGACATGGCACAAGCTGACACGACCAGGACATTCCTCGCTGCGTCTGAGTATCCGTGAGTCGTTTTAACTGCCTATCAGAGACAATCTCAACATTGGTATAAGCATAAAAGACTAGCTCTCCGGCGCCAAAGTTCGCCCATGAGGTGTGTCCACACAAGGAAACCTCAAACATGGACAACCCTGAACAGCACGGTTGCTCTCCCCTTTCTGACTTATTCCACGAGGCATCACTTGACCCTCTTGACCCCACCGTCTCCCACACCCAAGCCACCTCTGCTGCTGTTGGTCCTGCTGCACCGGAACCAACCCTTGTTGGGGGACAGGATGTGTGCGGGTCATAAGAGAAGCCCGGCCGTACGCTCCTCATGGACAAGATGAGTTCCCTTAGTCGGACCACATACGTTGCAGGTGGGTTAGATCCACCCAGCCGGTCTTCGATTTCCTCAAGCGTCTCAAATCCACTGATTCTGCTCCGGAAGCCGGCGGAGGACGTCAATGACAAAGGCAGATGACCCTTGTACCCGGGCCCTGATAGTCCTGAGGTAGAGGTTGGTCTCGTTCAAGGCTCCTGCTGTCGGCGCGGGAAACGAGGATGCGGCGGCACCGCTGCTTGTCGAGGTGATGGTGGCGGGCAAATGGGCGACATGTCGGTTCCATTGCAGCATAACAACATGCAGAATCCGTACAGGTGTGCTAGCCGCGCTTGTGCATTTGTGTAGCAGACGATGGCGAGTCGAACCTAATTTGTAAGAGGGCCTAAATCGTGGACACGGCCCTCTCGATATGCGCTGCAACCCAAGGTACATGTCTGTCACCCTCCGTGGCGCTCCTGTCTGATCGATGCCTGGCAAGGTCTCGGGAAAAGGCGTCCACGTTGACCAGCACGCGGTCGACGCGCTGCTGGATCTTCCGAAACGAGTCGCGGGCTTTGGAGCTGGGGCCGAGTAGCCCCAAGAGGTAGGCAAAGAACTGCCTGTTCCTGAGGAGCATCTTGGCCACTGTGTGAGTGAGATCCCCACAGGAAATCAGTGCGCCCTCCCCGGGGACTTGTTGCGGCTCATCGAAAATATCAGGCCGTAAGCGATTACAGGCGTAGTCATCAAGACCGGGCTCCTCAACGGACGCTAGTATCTCACGCACCCCCTGTAAGTGTGCTGGGTTGACCTCGGAGGTGGAGTGAGGGGATATGATTTCGCACGGTAAACTGGTAGCCAGCTGTGCAATGTGGAAATCCAAAATCTTCTAGAAGGGATGGCCCATGTTGTATATCCATCTGGTCCAAGGTGCTCTGGAGATCCGGCCTTGTGGCTGATCTTGTTGGTCGATGTGACACGGGGCGGCAGGCGTGTTGGGGGTGAAAGTGGACGTGTGCAGAACCTGGGTCAGGTTATGGGGATCTCAAGACCCCCCTCCTTTTTGCAATCGGGACGGACTGGTAATTTCAGGGGCATAGTGTTGATCAAGAGCAGGTGACTGGTGAGGCAAAGAGCCGCGAACCGAACTGCAGCAACAAGGAGGGCCAGTCAAGCAGCGGCCAATGCGTGTCGAGAAGAGGGGAGACGGTGAGACGGTGAGACGGTGCTGGGGGGACTGTGTTGGCGACTGCGAAGACTTCGACCAGAACCCATGCGCCCCCACAGGCCATAGGGCTGGACAGCGGGGTTGCCGAGACCGACCTCGTTGGTCGGTTCGCAGTGAGGACGGAGGACGGTACGGTGGTCGGTGGTCGTGGACGAAGGCCTAGGGCGCGGTTTGGTCTGAGAAGGCAGCCACACTAATCAAGTGCTAATAAAAGGGACGGGACCGCCCTCAGCCCTACGGTCTGGCAGATCGATCCGTGCCTTGCGCAAGCCAATCACGGCTGCCAGTCCCGTCGTGGCTTGACCGAATCATCTTGGACCCGCGCCGTACCTGTGCTGCTGGTAGTCAGGCACTAGACTCTATGAATATAGAAGTACTAGAGAGTATATTTATGGAATTTGGGCTTAGAATTTAGTAGCTGTACTTATTTTTATAGTTGTTAGGGTTCCTAGCTCTATATTATATTAAATATATAAAGTTTAATTAATATTATAGATTATTATAATTAAGTATATACTTTTTATTATATTTATATTTAAATAGTATTAAATTTTAAGTAAAAATAGTATTATATACTAAAAAAATAACTAAAATTATATTTACTATTATAATAATAATAATAATAGTAAATATTTTATAAATAATATATTTATTAAATATATTATTTATTTAATATTTTAGTATATATTTTTATTATATAAGGTTTTTATATATTAAGATATTTATTTAATTATAAGTATTAAATAGAGATAATAGTTTATTTAATATTTAATTTTAGAATATTATTATATTTAAAATAATAAAATATAAATTAAAAGAAATATATAGTAAAAATTAATTTATAAAGGTAATTTTAATATATATTTCTCTTTAAGTATTATAGTTATTATATATTAGTATAATAAGTATTAAGTTATAATTTTATAATTTTATTTTTAATTATTTAATTTTAAAATAGTTTATAAATTTTAAAAATATATAAATATTATTTAATAATATTTAATAGATTAAATAATAATTTATATAAATTTAATAATAATATAATTAATAAGCTTTTAATTAAATTAGAGGATTTTATAAATAAAATTTAAAATTTTACTTTATATTTAGTAATAATAAACTTAATAATAATAATTTAATAGTTTTAAATTATTAATAATTATTTTATATATATAGAAATATATAATTAATAATAATTATTTATTATAGATTTATTAAATATATAATATTAGTTTAATAATTATATAATTATAACTTAATTTATAGTTATAGTTTAGATTAAATATAATAATTTTATTTTTATATTAATATTAAGGTTTTATTTATTAATTAAGATAATATTAAGTTATTATTTTAATTATATATTAAGTTATTATTATTTTTAAAGAGTTTATATATAGGTGTTAATATTTTTATAGAAAATATAGTTTATTTAGATATTTTTAAGTATATATAATAGCTTTTAATAGTTTATTAGTAATATAATATTTATATAAGTTAGTTTATTAATTTATTTTTATAAATTATATTTATTTAAATTATATTATATTACCTTTTAATAAAAGAGAGTTTTAATTTAAATAGGTAGAGATAGTTTTTATATTATATTTAAAAGGGGTAATATAATTTTTATTATAAGGATTAAATTTAAAAAAGTATTATTTTTAGTTATTTATAGTTATAATAAGTAAAATTACTTTTAAATTATACTTTTAATAGTTTTAGTTAAGGTTTATTATAAGTAAGTTTATATTTTTAAGGGTAATATTAATTTTATTTAATAAAGATTTTTATATTTAAAATCCTAAAATATTTAAATAAGTTAAAAATAGTAAGTTTATTTATATTTTAATTAATTTAAAGATTATTATTAAAGATTATATAAAAGGATTTTTAAAGATAGTTTAAATAGTTAGTTAGGTTATATAATAATTAATAAGCTTTATATAATATATTAATAGAAGTTTTTATAAGAAATTTATAATATTAAATTATTTATAATTTTTATTATATAATAATATATTATTTTTAGGTATATAATAATTTTTTAAAAATATTAAGAAGTTTATTTTTAATATAATAGTTTTTAAAGGGTTAATAATAATAATAATAATTATATAAAGTTTATTTAGATTTTTATTAATTAATTTAAAATTAAGTTATATATATAGTTATTTATTAATAAATATATATTAAACTTTTATTAATTTAAATTTTTATTAAAGGTTATTAATTATAATAATTTTAAATATTTTATTATAAAGATTATTATTTATATAAATAATATTAATATATTAAATAAAGTAAAAGTTATATTATAAGTATATTTATAATTATAAAGTTATAATATATAGATAGTAATTAAGGTTATTAATATATATTATAGTAATATAAATAAAGTTAATAAAATAGTATTAATAAAGGAGTTTTTAAAGTTTAATTTAATTATTTAATTAGTTTTAGTTATTATAGTATTAAGGATAGGAATTAATATTTTTAATATAAAGATAGTTATATAGTAGGGAATTTTATTATTTAAGGATTTTATAAATTAATTTTACTAAAAGGGTAGGCTATTAGGAATAATAAATTTAGTTATATTATATAGTTTATATTTTAATATTTATTTAAGGATTTTATTAAAGTAATATTAAATGTAATTTTAAAAGTAGAGTTAAATTTAAATAGTAATATAAATAAGTTAGGGTATTAAAAGAGGATATTTATTTTATTAATAGATATTAAAGAGAATTAAGGTTATAATTAATAATTTATAAGTTTTTTTATTTAAAAGGATATATTTTTAATTTAATAATTTTTAATAATTTAATTTATAATTAAAGGTTAGTTATAATTATTAGAGATTTAATAGTTATAGATAATAATATATATAATATAGTATTTAAAGAGTTAAATATAGTTATACCTTTTATTTAGGTTTTATATTAAAAATATTATTTAGAGTATTTTAAAAATATAGTTTATAATATTTATTAATATATAAATATAGTTTAAAGAAGATAAATAAAAGAGTATATTAGTGTTTTTTATATATTTTAATTTTATATTTAATTTTATTAATTTTAATTATTTATATAAATAGAAGTTATTATTTATATAGGAGGATATAAAATAATAGGTATTAAATTATAAGTTTAGGTATTATAATTATTATATATTAGGTATTTTAAAGTTAATAGGTAATTTATTAAAGAAGTAGTAGTTAAAAGGTTTTATATTATAATAATAGTTAAGAAGTAGTTAGAGTAAATTAATAATTAGTGTTAGAAAAAGTGAATATTTAGTTTTTATTTTATAGATATATATGTGTTTTATTAGGTATTTAGTATATATTTAATAGTATATATTTTAATATTATTAGAGTTATTAAAATTAAGTGTTAAGTTAAATATAATAAGTTTTATTTTAAATAATTAATTAATTAATATAGGTTATATTAAATTTAAAATTTTAAGAATTTAAATATTATAGTTTATAATTTTTATTAATAAGTATATTAATTAATTATTAGTTATTAGGTAGGTATATAATAAAGAGTTTAATATTTATAAATAATATAAGAAGGTATTTTAAAGGAAGGTTAAGAAGTAGGTTAGGGATATTAAGGTAAGGGTATTAGTTTAGTTTAGTATTTTAGTATTATATATAAGCTTTAAATAATTTAGGGTTATAATTAATTTATTTTTAAATAGAAGTTTAAAGTTATAGCTATTATATTTTTATAGTTATTATATTTTTATAAGTTAATATAAAATATTTATTTTAGTTTATATAATATAATAAATTAGAAGTTTATTATATAAGCTATATTAATATATTATTATATTTAGTAATAATATTATAGTATATAGTGAATTAGAATAAAGTAGTATATATTTATATTTTATTATTAATTTTATATAATAAAGGTAGTTATTTTAATTATTATTTAAATTATTATTTTTATATAATAATATTATAGTAATATTAGTTAAATATTAATAATAGTATAAGATATTATAGTTAGTTTATTATTAGGTATTAAATATAGGTTAATTAGATAGTATATATAGTATTTTTATAGTGAATATATAAGTTTATTTATATTAAGGAATTATATTTAGCTTAGGTTTTAATATAGTGGTTTAGAAATATAGTTTAATATTATAAGAGGTAGTTTTTAGTTATATAATATTAGGGATATTATTTTTATTTAGTGTAAATAGTTAGAGTTTACTTTTATAAACTAATTATTATAATTATTAATATTATTTTATATTAAAAGATATTTTTATAAATAGTTTTTAATATATTAATTAAGTTATTTAAATAATATTTTAATAAATTTTAATATATAATAGTTAAAATAATATTTTAGTTTATTATTTTATATATTAATATTTATAATATTATAAAATAGTAATTTCTTTATATATAATATTTAAGAGTTATTATTAATAATAAAAGGAAATAATTATAGTAAGTAGGGTTAGGTTAAATATTATATAATTATATAATTATTATTTATAAATAGTATTTAGTGGATAAAAGAAGAAATTATATAGTATTATTAATATTATTTTAGTTAATAAATAATTAATTAATATATTAAATATTATTAGTTAGTTAATTAAATATTTTAATTATTTATTTAAGTATAATATTATAATTTAATATAAAAAAGAATTTATAATTATAAGTTAAGTTTATAGTTATAAGTTAAGTTAATAAAATAATATATATTTATAATTTTTATTTTTATATATTTAAATATTAATAAAATAATAATTTTATAGTTTATTTAATTTTATAATAATTATTTAATAATATTTATAAAGACTTTAAGAGGAGGGGTTAATAAATGGTTAGATAGTTATTTAGTTAGAGTAAGAAGGGTTAAATAATAGTTTAGTTTTTAAGTTATTAAGGTTAGGAAGATTAAATAATAGTTTAATTTTTAAGCTATTAAGGTTAGAAAGATTAAATAATAGTTTAGTTTTTAAGTTATTAAGGTTAGAAAGATTAAATAATAGTTTAATTTTTAAGTTATTAAGGCTAGAAAGACTAAATAATAGTTTAATTTTTAAGTTATTAAAATTAGGAAGATTAAATAATAGCTTAATTTTTAAGTTATTAAGGTTAAAAAGATTAAATAATAGTTTAATATTTAAGTTAGAAGTTTAAGAAGATTAAATAATAGTTTAATTTTTAAGTTAGAAGTTAAGGAAGATTAAATGATAGCTAGATTTTTAAGTTAGGGGATTTAATAGTTAGATAATAGTTTGATTTTTAAGTTAGGGGATTTAATAGTTAGATAATAGCTTAATTTTTAAATTAAGGGATTTAATAGTTAGATAATA